ATCTAAACACTCCAAATTACCGCTAAGTTGTATCCCTATTCCAGTCCTACTTAATGCTATGTTAATCTGAATTCGTAAGGAGCTATTTGTCCACCTGCTTCAAGTTTAAAAACGATGCTCACGGATGGTACATCACTTCAAGAGGTATTCAATAGTACCCACGCTACTAGTGATATCAAAATCATACGCCATTAAAGCGAAAGAAGTCTACTAACCTGTGGAACAGCAAGACCTCTATGGACGTACGAATGCTGAATTATGAAAAAAGAAATCTTCGAAATGTTCAGTTGATGAAATAATTTTTTTTTTCGAACAAGAAATTTATCAAAAGGTCTACTGCACCAGCCGCAAATTTCCCTACCCTTTTCGCACCAGTTTTTTTCTTTCCTGGGGCTGAAAGCTTCAGTTGACCTGATGATGTTTGCTAACATGTTAACTTGATAGGATATCAGTGCTGTGTGTCATTACTACCAAGTACAAGTAATGCTATTTCATTGTATGGACACGATAAATTATTAATTCTTGAGGCCCCAACTGTATTCATATGTTGTTTTTTGGGGTTTTTTTCAAAATGTTAGAAAAACAAATCAGCAGTTTCTACTGTCAGGTCATCAACAAAAACATATTCAAGGGATGACTACAGCAATGACAATGATGGTAAACTGTCTTCTGGGGGAAAATGCTAACAGAACCGAAAATGGTAATACGTTAGAGTGTTCCATCGAAACATCCTAAGAGTCTCCAGAGACTGCGGAAAATTAATCAACTTGATTCCGGCGTTTCGTCTCATTTGAATGGTGTTTGTTGGCCGGCTAATGTACATCTTTGTACAAGACGCTAATACTAACATTTCTTACGTATCTTGTGTAAATTCAGCGTGGGATTAAAAGTTGTGATTAAACGTGACTCCGGCCAATGTTTTCATTTATCTACATTGCGTTCAGTTAATTTCCCACCATTTGTTAAAGCAGCTGAGAGGGAAATCGAATTTTCCAGCCATAGAGTTAACCAACCGACAAACCATCATGATGTTTCTTAGCAATACAACACTGAATGAAATGTTGGCTCTGACGTGACCATTGACTGTGTATCGAATTCTTTTGGCCAGACACTTGTCGACTTAATCCGATCAATGACGGTATATTTTCTTTTTCGGTGTTTACTGTTTCCCAAGTTGTAGAACAGACAGGCGCGTATGACGATACATCAAATGTCTTTGAAAAGACTTCATGCTAGACCTTGCAAGAAAACCCTTTACATGATACGCCGTCTGACCATTTAATCACCTGTGAACGTGCCTTTTCATATATTCTACTAATTGTCTTGATAAGTTAGTTTCTTTTTATCACTGCGTTTCTTATTTTCATCTCATATTTTTTCTGAGAGAATGTAAAGAAACCATTGCCGTTACCATTAAATTGTAGTCGCTACCTCTTGTTACATTTGGTTAAAACCTGACAATAACTTACCAAAAAGGACTTTCTAAAACCATCGACAATTGATATGGGGCAGCATTTTATGTAGTATGTGCGAATCGAATACGTTTTAGAGAAAAAAATGTGCAATATTTGTGAGAAAAGCCTAATAATTAATTGAACTATATCATACAGCCATTTCAATGTATCGGGACTCGTCAGTGATGTAAAGAATCTAAATTGATGAAACATTGAAAGAGACCCAGGAGAATCCGAATTAGTCACCTGGTCACCTGAATGTTCACCTGAAGTTACGTGGGTCAACTCTTTAACCGACAGAGCTGTCACGGACACCTCGAAACCTGAGGTTAACTTGGTGAACTCTCTAGCCTACAGAGCTATCACGGACACCTCAAAACCTGAGGTTACATCAGGCAACTATTTAACCGACAAGGGTATCACGGCTACATCTAAACCTGGGGTTAACTAGGTGAAGTCTCTAACCTACAGAGCTATCACGGACACCTAGAAACAATGTCATTTATAGTCTTGTTAGGTCATCACTCCTTTATTTTTGTGTGTATGCATTTATAGAAGCATAGTATCTCTCCTGTATATTCTGACCATATATATATTATAAATTTAGATAAGTATTTTACATTATGAAAGACAACATACCCACAAGCTAAGCTTTAACAGCGTACACACTATTATGGGAATTATCGATGTTAATAAGCAGAACAGCTAAGTTCTTTATAATATAAAGGAATTGTATGAGGCGCTCAAATGTTTTGATGTGCGTTCAGTTGAAGTTTTACCAGTTTTCTGTGTTCACTAACCTGTGTGCAGATTTTACCATATTTGTCATATGTTGATATTGTGTATTTGAAAATAGAAGTTGTTGCTCCTTGCATACAAATCTAATGAACGAGCACCAACCTAAGCGACGGAAGTAGCAGTATATTGCGTTGGACATGTTAGGTTCGACTCAGTAAGGTTCGCAGATCTTGATATACGACCCCTAGTACGCATTGTAGGTCAAGGAGGTAAACGAGGTTTGACCTTGACCTCATAATGGAGCTCAAGCTTAAACTTTTTCACAGCTTTGAAGTTTGTAAATGACTTCTGTTCTATCTAGGAGCACTGTTCATGTTGTTGTTAATCAATATTTGAAAACGAAATGGACGTATTTTTTGCAGAATTTTTTAACTGAACACGATTTCCTTTATATATTGTATTTTCAGAGTATCTTGTTTTCTTGGCGTTATTCAATCCTGGAAAACAGGGGAAAAAAATAAACCCACTCCAAAATATCTACTCCACAACAACGACGTATATATTGCAGCACGATACCTCACCAGCCACAGCAACAGCACTATGAGTGCTAATACATGGTTCGGCTTCATTATACAACTCATCAACTACATATAAATTATGTCCATATGTTCATCAGTGTATAGATCCCGTGTTGTCATAATACCGTGTTGGTTGTAAATTCCCGGTATCAAGCAGAACCACAGTTTGGCTTCAGAGAACAAACTAGGAAACAGGAAGACAGGAGCGTCGATAAAGGTCGGCGATAGCGATGAGACACCTAATGTTGCAGGCCTCGTGGACACGAGAATGGATGCTGTCCGATTTGGGGAATTTATATTGGATTTTAATGGTCCAAGCAGAGCACAGTCGCATAAAACGGTCACCATTTAGTAGAAGTCGGCGATAAAGGTGTCGTAAATCGTCTCCAGATGGGAATGTGTGAGATAGTCATTTATGCTTACTGTTTTGACGTAAAATCATCTCTTTCTATCTGAAGACTTTGTACAAGCCCGAAAAATTCATAATTCTCACTACATGTAAATTTGTGTTGGATAAAGATCTCTTTGGTTTTTGTTAGTTATTGTTTGTTTGTTTGGGGGAGAGGATAATGATTATTAGTCCATTGTGTTTTAGCTAATGGATTACTAATGAATAGCTAACTTTATCAAAAGTTTTGGCGAAATCCATGATTAACAGTAATCATTCTACAATTTATTTCCATGGGTCCTTTTCAACTTTATTGCTAAAATTAATAATGGGGTCCCGCATGGTAAAAAAAGTTCAGTATTTCCGGAAATTCTACAAATCCTATTAAAATTCTAAGCGTACAGGACGCGTGACTCGCATGTTCGCGTGTGGATTGATCACTGAATTTTGGGACTGCATCGATACACGAAACTCACGATACGATACATATCACGGTATGATGCTTTTGATTCTATACGTATCACAGGCACTACACTTAAATAGCAGATAGATACTATCAAACATCGTTTTGTATCATTTCTAATACTTTCTGTACGGCAGTTGATCACATCTTCTCTGAATGATAAAAAATATCAGTCAGGTTTATTTTAATTTTATTTTTTATTTTATTTATTTATTTATTTTTTTTTTTTTGGCGGGGGGGGGGGGTTGATAAATAAAATTGAATGTTTAAGTACCGCTTTAGTGTATAACGATACAGGTAAACAAAACAAATCGATACGATAAAAAGTATCTCTATGCGATACAGTATATTACTGAAGCCATAATAATTCGAATGTCCCTCTGGAGTCCTTCGTGGGGATTTTAGAGACAACATAGAATATGATGTAAATTATGATATGCGGGAGCGGAATCTTTGGAGGCCGTGTCTGAAAGGATATGATATGCTGTGGTGGTTCGCATGAGTTCCCATAATGATCCTAGTCTATGCATTTCGGGGTAATTTTTCCCCAGTAATTGGGTCACAGTTTTTACACAGGCAAGATTTTGGCACAATTTCAATCTAGCGGCACTCTAACAAATGTTATTATTGGGTTTTAAATATGAGACACAGGACAAGGGCAAGTTCTACTGGTCAAATTATAGTTCTGCGTAAGCATACGTACTTACATTCATGTTTATTTTCTACATGTTGTGGCGACATAAGAAAACAATCAATATGGTTTTTATATACACAATTCCTTATCGATCAATATATCCACGTATCTCAGTGTATTTTGACATAGGCCTATGTTATATTTCACACCGTGTAACAAGACAGTTTTATCTTTTTTTTATTGTGACAACCAAACTCTGTCTCTCTGATATTGTATTAGGGGTTTTCTTCATGCTGCATCTAATGGGGTACTCGTGTGACAAGGCCAACCCTAATATTAAAAAATTAATTATAAGAAAACTGTTTCCGGTTGTTCTACCTACCCTAATATTTGGCGTCTGACCACAACACTTTAAGAAATCTTTCAAACAATTAACAATGAGTAAAGTCGACATCTCTCTCCGATGTAAAGCATATAGATATAAATTCTATTATCTATTTTGGGTTTTTTTAAGCTACCTTAATTTATCTTAATTATGTTGCAGGAAACACATATATTTTTGTCTGGCCTATATCAAATAGATTCTACATTATTATTTTTTAGGCATTCTGTTTCTGCGACTTGCGCGAAAGTGACCCGTGTAACATCCGGAAAATTGGAAACTATAATTTGATTCCTTGTTTAGTATACGAGTACATGCGCATTCAATATACCAGTTTCTACTTCCGGAAATAGTAAGCCGTAGGACTTCATCATTGGAGACTCTCGGCCTTGTATAAAGAAGATTGCAAGATGCCTGAACGTAATATATCTAGCATACATTGCACAGCACTACACTGACACGTATCTGTAAAGATAACTACACTGTATCACGCCAAACAATCTCTTTGTCATATATTTTGAGAAAGACAGGCATACTCTGCTGTTTGTTTTCGACTGCACGCGTCACATTATCCATTCGATATAGGATCGATTTCTAGATGCTTGTCGCTTCTTTACTATCATTTTAATATACTTCACTAAATTTGCATGATATTACTTACTGTTATTCCACAGACAGAAGCCGTACTCTGTAGTCACGTGTCGGATCCCAAAATCTGATTTGTGATCGTTTACATTAAGAAATTTGGGCCTGTTGTTGACTACATTCTAATTAATTTAATTGGGTTTTTTTTACCAGCCCATGCCCCAGTCTTGTTCTTATTAAAATAAAAACAGAATCATAAAAAAATCCTGGTAAAGGATGCTATGCAACAGAACAAATAGAATTATGTTTTTTACATAATAAAAAGTATTATTAATATTTACATTTTAGATAAGTGACTAAGATTAACAAGAAGGTGCTGAATTTTCACATTTTTATATATAATCACGATAAGGAAGAATTCTGACTTGTTTTTTTATGACGAGTAGTTACAAGTATTCTCAATATAAGCTTTATTGATGCCGGCAAAAGTTGCCAGTTAATTATCAACTCTGAGCCACCTTACCTTTTAGGAAATGCATAGAATGATTCTAGGTTAAGTTGATATTTAGCTGGTTTCTTTAAAACCAACTACCAATTTCAATTCTGATACACAGTGTTCTTGAAATCCTTAATTTAAATCAAATTGATTAATGAAAAGCAAAAAGATACATATCAAATTCTTATTGAAATCTATCTCTAGTATATATTTAAAGTACTATTAAATCAATGTAGACACTTTAATGAAATAATGATAAATACTTATTTTATTCACTGTCCTGCAATTTGTAAACTTTTTTGAATTTGCAATATTTTTGTTCTGTTATAGGGGATTCAGAAGTGTTTTCCAACCCTCTTCCGCCAACAGACTTCAGAATAGACGATGAGGATGATGAAGGGTATGACAGTTTTAAAAGTAGTCATCTGATGATATCATACACAGCAGAAGGACAGTTCCTGTGACAAGACACTGATGTGATTTGTTTTGAAAAAAACCTCCCATCATTCCTTATGGGTTACAAAGCATCATATTTTCAGTAATTGTTAACCAGTTAGTGAAATGTGTTGCTTTATCTCAGTTTGTAACATTTGCATTAGATTTACTCTTATCTAATTAAATTTTGCTTGTCTTTTCCTTCTGAAGTTTATAAAAGTAGTTCTATGTTCTTGTTGCCTGGATTTTTTTCCCTGGTCATTTAACAGAGTTTTCTATATGTGTTGTACATTGTGTTGTGTACATGTCTCTATGATCTTAAACTTAGGTTCAATTCAACAGTCCCATTCAGTTTTCTTTATATTTTTTCATTTGTTTCTGTAAACAAAAGGATTTGTCTCATGTTGACATGCAAGTTTGTTTACCTTTCCAGCCATCCTCTTACAAATGACGATTTTAGGAAAATGCTCATGACCCCTAGAGCTCCTACGGGGTCAGTGCAACACAGCAGCAGCAGTAGCAGTAGCAGCACTAGCGCAAGATTACCTAAAATGTAAGTCTGCCAGAACCATTGTCTTTCCTTTTATACTTTATTTGTGATCCAGAAATAGGAGAACTTCGTATTGTTGATGGGAAATGACAATAGTCCATGGGTTATGACAACATTCCTTGCTTGTGTGGTTTTGAATTTATTATTTTTTTAAATACTGCCATTGAATTCAATTTATTTTTATAATCATTGGGGGTGGAGTGGGGCCATATAGTGTTACTCATGTCTGTGTCCCAATCTGAATCAATTTTATATTTTTTGAGAACCTTTCAACAGATTTTGTTTACATTTACTCCACAGTATTTTGAACTTCGATCCTAGACCAGATCAGAATCATAATGGAGACATTCATACCTTATAGACGTTTTATAGCTGTCCCTGTTTTCTAGTAACTGTAACAAAAACATCTGAAATCAATGTACTCAAGAATAATGACAAAATGCAAACTGAAGTCAGAATGTTTTGAATAGATGTAATGGAATTGGACTTTGTGACTCTGGTTGGTAATCCTTGTTAAAAGTACTTTAATGTGATTGTTGTGACAGTTTTTATGTATAATCTGAAGTACTAGAGTTCAAAAATAAAAATAATTTCCTCTTTTACAACATTTCATGATATTTGTAGTGATCTTTACAACTCTAAATATTACTACAGGTTTGAGAATGTGTTCATATTAAAAATAAAATGTACAATTTGTGTGTTTTATTTATTGTGATGGACCTTTTTTGACTCCAGTCCAATACCAGCTAGACCAGAAGAAGATGATGATGATCCAGCTACAAAAAGACGGAAGAAGAAAAGGTAAAGATTTAGAAATGACAGCATGTTAACATAGTGTGCTGGTAGATGTTACGATCATCTTGGGGTGTCAAGTGTTTGTGTTGGGATAATGAAATGTTGTCTTCAATTTATCGTTTAAAGATAATCCTCTTTAATATTCAAATACACTGGTGTGATTATGTATGTGATTAAATGTTGTAGAGATCAGAAAATATTTTCTAATTTGCTTTTATCTTTAAGAGTGGAAATGATGTAAAAAAATGAAGTTTATTTCATGAAAGTAAATTCCCTTAATAATGGATGTTTGGTTATCTTGTTTTAACACTTGATGGCTTTCAGTTACTATGCAAAGCTCAAGCGATTGGAAGAAGAACGTCAGAAGGAACTGGAGGAAAAATACAGAGATAGGGTATGATTTTAAACTGCCAATTGATATGATAAACATCAAACTTGTAATTGATACATCAGTTTCCAATGATAAATAAACAGAATGAATAAAAGAACAGATTGTTGATAGTTTGATAATTTAAAGTGTTCATGTGTCAGTACAGAAAATTTCAACTACACTATTAATGCCATTTGTCAATGTTGTTTTGTTGTCCTCTTTGTTTTTGTCAAATTGTTTTCTGAATGGACAGCAGTATCATTTTTGAAAAGATCAGTTTTAGTTGCTGAAATATCACGTTTTATTTTATTGTAATGTTTATTTGTAGGGAATCTAAATTTACTGTGTTTTTGGCTTGTGATATAAGCTTGACTATAGGGCCCACCTGAGAACTATACCCAAAGTCCATAGGCAGGATGGTCGGTGTTGCTGAAGACTAGTTCAAACCAAATAATTAGAAAGGCAGAGAAAGGCATTATAACTAGGCCATAAGACTGAATCTGTCAGTTGACAAAACCAGATTGCTGCATTTAAGATTGTTTGGAGAGGTAAAATGTGATATGTTGTTGTTTTTTAGGCAAGAGAGAGACGTGATGGTCTTAATCGGGACTACGCAGAGACAGAAATTATCAGTACCACAGCAGATTACCGAGCAGTGGCACCAGATGCAAAAGCGTATGGCATTTAATTTTCACTTTGGGAATATTTTAATTTTGTTTTTGATTTGATGTCTACTCCATACTGGCATGTAATCCATACTTTTCATGTCTCTCTGTTTGTTGTAGTCGATTGAGAGCATTTCACTCTACATTGGTTCATATACCACTATACTTCATGGTCTTACTATTATTTGCCATAAAGTGTGTAGTGAAAGTAACTGAATTTAAAAGCATTGTGATAAGAAGTTCATAACTATAAATACTAAAGAAAAGATCCATTAGATTTGTCTTGTGTTCTACAATTGTACTTAAAAGACAGAAATTAGATTATATTAAGCTGATTATAGCAGGATATCATGGATGATGAATGTCTCTTTGTCATTCCAGTGGAGAGAACTATGCTGAAAGAAGGAAACAGTTGATCCAGGAGTCTAAATATCTAGGAGGTGACATGGAACATACCCATTTGGTGAAAGGCTTGGATTTTGCCCTGCTGGAAAAGGTGTTATTTTATGAATGTTATTAGTTAAAATGTCAGTTTAGCAATGACTCTCACTTTTGTTGGAAGAAAATATCCTGTTGTTGGTCCTTCATTGGCTTCATTGTGAAGTGTAAGAAAACATGCATTCATTGTCGACATATTCCAAGTCATTCTTCTCATTTCAGTGAAAAACAATACAAGAATTGCTTACAGCAGTTCAGCTAACACATACCTTTGACTGAGATATCAATATTTTCCTTGAAATGCATTCAGTTATCAGAAATTTAGTTATTTTCCTCAATTAGAGAAATACAAGTTCTATATGTTATTTGAGTCCTGATTAAAACCTTCAGTTTCTGTATTTGTTTATCAGTCGGCCCATATCTGGTAATAAGCTTATTCAACTGATATTGCAGTTTCAATAGAAAAGCCAACAGTTGCTGTATCATACTATTGTTACCATAAGTCCACCTGCTAAGAGCCAGACGTTGATACCATGGACTTCTTGAAGGATACACATATACACTTACTTGGTAAACACTTTGTTTGTAGGTGAGGGCAGAGATTCACAGCAAGGAGCGAGAGGATGAGGAAGTAATGGAGATGATTGTGTCCCAGCCTCCCAGTTCACAAGCTTCAGCCCCAGCCCAAAACCAACCCCCTGCTCAGGCCCAAGCGCAAGTCCCAGGCCAAACTACAGGCTCTGTACCAGCTGCCATGGTACCCCCAGCACCCAAAAAGTAAGCCTTGTCCGCAATAATTATAGAAATCAAGTCACCCTTTAACAATTTCTTTTGAAATTGTGTATTGTCTTGCAAGAGTTTTTCTTATTCTTTTTCTGAAGCACTTTTGTTTAAATGTTCAAGAATATTTGTGAATAAATTCATCTATGTTATAAATTTTGCAGTCAATCTTTTGTGTGCCACAAATGTTTAATTTCTGACATTTTAGGCAGAAACTCTCAAAACCTGAAAGGCAAATGTAAAGACAATGAGTTGAAAAAGCAATTCATTTTTTTGGGATGTTTTTTGTATTTTTCCCAGCACTATGGAAACATGATACTAAATGTATTGATTTTTAGGTCACCTGAGACAAAGTCTCATGGTGACCTTTTCTAATACCATTGATCCGGCGTCGTGCATCCGTAAACAATTTAATACTTTCGACTTCTGCTCAAAAATCCCTGATCCAATTCAGATGAAATTTTGCAAAAACCTTCCCTGGCCTAAGATCAACCAAAATTGTAAATTATACAGTCCCCAACCCCCATGGTCCTTTCCAAATCATCATGCATTCAGAACATCTTAGTTGATTTTATTCATATTTTCCCTATCAATGCAAGCTTTCAACCTGATCATATTGGTCATCGTCACAGTTGAAACATACACAAATTGGTATAAAGGATCCATTATTATCTATGTATTCAATTTGAAATATCAAAATATACGATAGTAACCTATTGTATTGACCCTTACAGAGAGGAAAAAGAGGATCCAGAAACCTTAATACAATTCAAGACAAAGATGGGTATGTACCAAAACTGCCTGGATTGTACAATTTCAGACAAACATGAGTAAATCTGTGGTATTCTTTCAACAGCAAAATGTTATTTTTTATTTCACAGCATGTTAAGTGGTAGAGATACATATCACTGATGCTGACAAACTTCTTAGGGGTATTAGGTTGAGTGGTAGAGTTATGAGATTAAAAGTTAACATTTTGAATGTTTTATTTCTAAAAAGGAGGGAAAAATACAAGGCTTTGATTAAATAATTTTTAAATTCATTATACTAGAATGAAACCAGGCTAACAAAAACTGATGCATGTTCTGTCACAAATGTCATCCTTCATGTTTAATCAGGTAATGTAATGTACTTTACATTCTACAGGAAGAAATGTCTACAGAATATTGTTTAAGAACAAACTACCAGAGAGGAATGAATTGTTTTTGCCACGGCGCATGGCTTATGTTGTGGATCTGGAGGATGAGTATGCAGATTTGGATGTTCCCACAACAACCATCAGAAGCAAAGCTGACTGTCCTAGCCTGGAGGTAGAGCTATGACAAATATTCTTCTATTTGTTTCATACTGAAATCTTTTCAGTTACTGTTTTCTGATATCAACTTCTGATAAATTTGGTTGGGAAAATGTATAATGTGATATTGAAAGAAAAGACACATAAACATACCGTAAATAATCGCGTATAGTGCGCACTATTTTAAGCTGAAACTGTCGTGTCAAAAAGGGGGTGCGCACTATACGCAGGTACATGCCATTCCTGGGGTTATCATTCCCGAGTTCTGCATCCGCCATATTGGATTACCTCCCTTCATATAGTTATATGTAAAAGTCGTCGGTCTTATATGATAGTTTGGAGATAAAAACAACAAAAAAATAAAATAAATTTCGAATGTTTTAATCATCCGCCATTCACGCTAGCATTACGGTGAATCTAATTTTTTTTTCGTTTCCCGTCGGTCTTACTATTGGTCTGGGCTATAGTAGTGTCTGAATTTCTGCCTCATTTTGATGATGTATCCGTGGAATTCAATGAATCCGGAAGTTTTTAGGCGATTGTCGTTCTGTTCATAAATCGGACAGCCCATCCCACCGATGCCCAAAGTTGGTGACCCCATGATCTCTCTTGATCTGCATGGCCCGCACGCGCAGTTCTGTTGTACTGGCAGCGATGCCGGGATATCGGCGCTCGCATACATCTCTGGGTGTTTCGCTGTCACACCTATGTCAGCCCTTCTGGTCAGTGGTTGGGACTTTAGACGGTCTTTTCTTTCTTCCGTGCCTTGATATTTCACCCTGGAATGTCGAAGTGGCGACCGGCGGCACGAAACTCCAGTCTCTCGGCGTAGTCAAATTGCATTCGCAGTTTCCCCATGTCAAAGTCGGTGTAAACAATCTATCATTAAATACCTTCGGATACCGCGGTGGGTACAGATACCATGAAAGATCATGCCTATACTGAACAAACCACCTGCTTTTATGGGGACAAGATAGGATTGAAAATGTTCAGACAGTTAAAACAACATCGTTTTCTGACCAATAGTACGCGTTCAGCCCAAGCCGGGTGTCATCAGTCTCCTCATACTCAACGTGTTAATTGTCATTAACCGTTAATTATACAATCAGCCAAGCCTTTCATGCTTGTTAGGTCACCTGGGTAAATTTGTTTACTTAAGGTAATCACAGGTGTTAGGGTCACGTTCATTGTGGTTTCCTAATTATCAATGGATCAGACCACATCAAATGTTTCGTCGCAGTGACCAGTCAATTACTTTTTCTGTAAATTTTTTTTTTTTAAATCTGATCTCCAAAAAGTACCTGCACACTATACGCGAGTGCGCACTATACGCGAATATTTACGGTATGTATGCCATCAGTGAATTTGAAGGTTCAGTGATAATGGTGAAAAAGTGAAGTGCTATTCCGTTATATATACATTTAAAGCAGTCTAAAATGGTCACTGAAGGGAGACAACAAAAATGACCTTTTTAGGTAGGAGGCTTTTATTTAAAGATGTAATTACTATAAAAACAGATATATTTATTGTATACAGGTGATCTTTAAGGCAAGGTAATCTGTACTGAAAATTCTGCCATTTTTCTACCTCTGTTATAAAGTGAATTCATCATGACAAAAAAACACAACACACTATATACATGAATACTGTTATTTGGCTGTAAAGGACAAAATCTCTGTGTGTGATGATCCAACACCTTATCATAAATCTAAGAGAAAATAATATGTATAGCTGTATGTTGCATTAAATATTTTTGCTGTTACTGATCAGCTGTGAGATGCATGCTCCTTTGTAAGCTCTGTTTGTGTTGCCATGGATTACCATCCTATTGTGGGAGGATTAATTTCTGTTGATGCACAGAAGTGTTTTGTCAGCTCTTTCAATATTTCTTTTTTATGTGTTGAACTCCAATACAATATCATATTTGTGTTGTCTGTCCACAACAGGCCACAACGACCTTGACCACAAATGACATTGTCATCAACAAGCTTACACAGATTCTGTCCTACCTCAGACAGGGACGCAGGGAGAGCAAAAAACTCAAAAAGAAGGAGAAAGGTCAGTTTCCATAACAAGCCAGACTGTCTTAAAATATTTATTTCTGTCTTTACCATCTTCTGTATCTCATGGGCTGTTTTCATTTATTGGTTTCACCAGTTGGCCCAGGCTTGTTAAAAATGGACAGAACAACTGGTTTTATTGTTGCTTTCTGTTGGGCTATAACTTGACCTTTGAGACCTATATTTATGCATGAAACTCAAACTCAAAACAATATACATTCAAAGATTCAAAATTGAATTATTTTGTTTCTAAATTATTAAATTGCTTGTCTATACATAATGTGTAAATTGATGACATATATCAAATTAGATACAGATATAATAAATAAATAAATAATCCAGTCTTACACTTATTGAGGAATTGATGTTTGTTATATAAATAAAAAAAAAGCTTTCAAGTGGGAATTCATCTATAACTGCTTAGACAGATAATACTGCCATATAGCTTTGTTAGCAGAATTTAGGAATTCTAGAATTATCGGCAGACGAATCAGGTATTATATTTCTTTTAGGCATTGCATGTTAAGAGTAAATTTTGTCTGTTAATGTTAAATAATATTGTATGAGTTGTACATACATTCTGTTGGAAATATCAGTTTATATATGACATGCACATTTTAAAGTCACCAGGGAAGTGGGATGAATTTCAAAATTACTGCTGACTTTGTTCTAGGGAAGTTGAAAGATGAAGAAAAACCAAAGGAGAAACTGCCTGGAGCTGATGATAAGTAAGTGCAATGACAAAAAGGTCTGAATATTGCTGTTGTCCTGGCATTTCATGCTCTTTTCTTATTGGTCAGTATTTAGTAAGTTCACTGAAAGGCTATCTGTTAGCAGTGTATAGAACCAAGATTTATCTATTACTGCCATTTTACAATGTGGTATTTGGTGTATATTCAAAACTGCACATTAACAACTAGTGTTTAACTAAAACGTCGATACAATCAACATGCCGTTCATTTGTTTCACTAAAATGAAATCTTCATCAAAAATGATCAACAATACCTTAAGTTTTGACTATGTTCTCTGAGATGAAACAAATATGGCGCACATTGAAGAAAGCTCCTTGAACAAAAAAGATTTAGTTTTGCAATTTCAAGGCAATTTACCTTGTTGAATTATTGTATATACACATGAAACCTCTCTAAAGCACCTCCGATGAAAATACACAAAGGAAATATTTACACATGGTACCTTTTTGATAGATTTACCTCGTACAACAGATGATGAATCTGGTCAATACACCAAATTACCAACCTGCAGAAAATGTTCGATTTGTTACTTGAATAGTTTGTTGTTTTATCAACAGTATTTATGCCGATGCTGGTGACTATGTGCCAAGTGTGTCAAAGTCCAAGGACCGGAAAGACAGACGAGATCGTGGACGGGAGGATGAACGAGAAAGCCGAAGAGAACGTGAATATCGTGATCGGGATCGAGACAGAGACAGGGAGCGTAACCGTGATCGTGACCAGGGTAGAGATCGCGACAGAGACCGACGGGATCGAGGAGACAGGGGCGATAGGGACAGAGAACGCGATAGAGGACGAGACCGAGAGAGGGAGTCACATCGTGAACGTGATTCACACAGAGGAGAGAGAGAGGAAAGGAAAAAGAAATCCTACTTTGAGAAACCATCTGAAGAGGTAATGTTGAATAAAGGATATGATTCTTCCTTGTTTCAGAGGATCTGCTTTCTTAAAGTCTTTATTTCTTTTTTTGGGGGGATTTTTTCATCAAAAGTTCTTTGATAGTCTGTGATACTTGTACAATTATATTATATATTGTATTTCTTCAGTTTCCACCGTGAGATTTCCTCTGTTCTCTTAATGTCCAATCCTAACCGAGCTTGTTCAAACATCATATGTTGTTTTTGTCTCAGGAAAGTAACAAGATTATCAAAGTTTTCTCGTTGTAATTAATGTAGACTTTTGGTTTTTGTCACAGGATGAGGAAAAAGTCATTCCCCAACAGACAGCCTCAGAGATGGTCAAAAGCATCAACGCCAGTTTCAAGGTGAGATAGATTGGAAAGTTATTCAGTAAATACTAGCTGCAATATACCCTTTTTCTGAAGAGAACTTCTCTTCAACTCTGACCAAAAGACTGGTTAAATCAGAGGTCATGGATTCTGTACCTAGCAGATTAATTGAGGTGCATGTAGGAACCCAAGAAATGTCAACCAATTCACTCTGTAATTGTCGTTTTTACACCCAAGTAAACTCTAGGACAAGTTCTTTCCTGGAGGGAAGGAGCATTCAAGCTTGATAACTGCTGGCTGCAATACACCACTTGGTTAGAGATAACTTCTCTTTAGCTCATTTGGTTCAATACTTGAAAGCCAGAGGTCCAGGGGGACATGTGTTATATAGTGATACAGTGAAAACAATGTTTTTTCTTCAGAAATATGTTCTTTTAATACTTTATACCGCTGATACATTGAGTATGGTGTTCAGTGAAATTGTCGACATAAATTCAGAAATAATTTTCCAACAGATATTAGCTATCAACTAGATAGCAATCAAAAGGTTTTGTTCATGTTAATACACACACATGAAAAACCCTTATTTTGTATGATAAAAATACTATGCTGATGTGAGGAGAAACTGAAAGTTTATATTTTATATTTGAAAAAAAAATAGGCCAATAGAGCAACAGATTAAAGAGAGTAGCTTTATTGTGGCACCTTAATATATAATTTACTTAATATTTTCTAATGCAGAGTTATGCTGAGATTGAAGAGGAGAAAGCATCGTAAGTTCTGTATAATTTGCGTGTCAGAGAAACCTTGCCTTAACCCTGTCTTTAATTGATGACAAATAAGTCATAATATAAGAAAATAGAAGATAAATTAAAAGAGGTATTGATGAAAATGCTTGGTCACACCAAAGTGTGGATCAAGACATCACAAATATTTATTATACAATAGATATGCCGTAGAATTTCTTATTGGTTCTGAAAAGATGAAATTTTGCAAAATTTGTTGTGATTCTAGTTTTTACAGGTTAAATACAGATTCATGTTATAAAGAATTAGGAATACTAATAACTAAAAGATATTTATACCTTATATGTATTGAAAATTGAAATTCTTTTAAAGTGAAAATTATTTTCAATCTTAACTTCCATGATTTATTTTTAGTGCGGAGGCAAAGAAGGCCGAGTCATGGATGAAGAAATTAAAGGCCAAAGTTGGTGTCGACAGTTATGCAGAGTGTTACCCTGGGTATGTTTCTAAAAAGATACATGGTCTTTGCATATATAAACTTTTAAAATATACTTGTATTGGTAACCAAATGTGATTAAATTTTTGGTGTGGAAAATTTGAAAAAATAACCCACAACTTATTACAATTTGGAACCACGTTTGGTGGTTAGGAAGGGCAGAACCCATAGTCATTGATAAATCTGAAATTCAGGGAATACTGCCCTTTGTAAAAGAGAAGGAGTTTTTGGCCTAATTTGAGAAATGGAGAAATTTTGGACAGCTCTTTTGGTAATAATTCAATAAAGGGATAGGTTTTAAATGTATGACATACATGAAGATTACATAAATAAATATGACAATGTTGAGGCGAGATTAATAATTCTTTTCCATGATTGCATTAATTAAGATTAAACCAATTATCTCTATCATTTTTTTCTTCAAGGGAAGGGGGGGGCGGGGGTGGTGGGGGGCTGTATTATGTTGTACTCATGTTTTCAGGATATTTTCTTAATGGGGAATTTGTATATATCTGGAAGAGGGAAACCACTTGGGGAATACTACCCTTTTCCGATGTTAAAAATTTATGTAAGATTAATCCCTGATGGCACCTGTTGAAAAATTTGAAGTCCCCTAAAATTTTTAATTTTGTTTCCAGAGCATGACTTTGCTTGTATTTAAATTATGATAATGAAACTTGGTGTATACATTGATCGTAGTAAGATGATGATCAGTGTACCAAATTTAGGGCCTGACACCAGTTATTTACAGAATTATTGCCCTTTTGATAAAATTAAGTATCCAGAGCACAACTTTTAATTGCTTACATTACATTGCAGTGTACCAGTGGAAGGACCCACTATCACATTATTACAGAGTTATTGCCCTTTGTTGAAATTTTTAATCTGGATGATAACTTAGCCTGCATTGAATCTAGGATATTGAAACATGATGTGTACATTAATCATATAAAAGGAACGCGCATTTTACTAAAGTAAAAGCCAGAAACCGTGTAATTACAGAATTAGTGCCCTTTGTTAAAATTTATGTCTGTAGCATAAAGTTGCTTTCATTTAAGGTAGGATAATGAAACCTAGGTTATACATTGGTCATAGAAAGAGGATGTGTAATGTGCCAAATTCAGGGCTTGCAACCACTTAATTACAGAGTTAGTGCCTTTGTTAAATTTTTGTGTCCTTTAAAGTTGTTTTCATTCATCAGTTTCACTGATATTTTTGTTTTATGCATTGAAAGTATTTGGATGGTTCATAATTCAAACAATTACCTGTATTCCAAATCAGACAAACAATAGTCAAATGTTGAAATTCAGTTGGTGATTGCTCTCATGGTATCATAGCGACTATATGAGTGTAAAATGCTATTTTTTCTTCTGTAATGTAATAAAAGATATTATATATGGGTCATAGATTTAACAGATAAAGTGACAAATGCAGGACATATGGACCTTTTCTACAGTTTTTTCAATGTTTCTTTTCAATTTTCAGCTTTCAAATCATTGAATGCATGCTATTGAAAATAGACAGTGCAAAATCTCATAGAAAAAAGCGCAGCCATTTTCACTTATATATCATAAGTAATGCTTTTATATGATATAGTATGGAAGAAGCTGCAGATGCTTTTGGTGACTCGGACGATGAAGTAGACTATAGTAAGATGGACCAGGGAAACAAAAAAGGACCCATTGGTCGATGGGACTTTGACACTCAGGAAGAGTATAGTGATTACATGGCTAATAAGGAAGCCCTTCCCAAGTAGGTTTACACTGTGTATAGTGATATATAGCCAGTGTTTATTAATGTTGGAAGAAATATTAACTCATTGCTTACTCATATGATCATGTCACAAAAAAAAGGTATTCATGTATCCTTCATGACATCTTTATACATCATGGTTAAAAATGTTTTCTTTCTTTTGTGATGTCTAAAGATGTCGTGAAACACTTCAGTTAGACATGGTTGTGTGTAGGAATTCACTAATGACATGTTTATCAAACAGAAAATAAGTATCAAACATAGAATAATGATGTTTATCTTCATGTCTTTCAAGCGTATTCATTCATTAAAATATTATGTACTCAGAAATCAGCTGGATTATATGCAGGGTTGTTTTAACTAGCAACAAAGTGGCTGACTCAGACTTTACTTTGAATTTCTGAGGCATTGATGACAAGAAACATAAAATTAAACTATTAGAAATGATTAAATATATCAAATAAGGACAGTTTATTGTAAAATTAAAACAGGAATATGCACAAATTGTGAAAGCAACAAAAAAATTATACACAAGTGACACAAGGAGCATAAGAACAGTCATGAATTACACACAGGTGACACAATGAACACAAGAATAGTCATGAATGACACACAAGTGACACAATGAACACAAGAATAGTCATGAATTACACACAGGTGACACAATGAGTACGACAACAGTCATGAATTACACACAGGTGACACAATGAGTATGAGAACAGTCATGAATTACACACAGGTGACACAATGAACACAAGAACAGTCATGAATTACACACAAGTGACACAATGAACACGAAAACAGTCATGAATTAGACACAGGTGACACAAGGAGCATGAGAACAGTCATGAATTACACACAGGTGACACAAGGAGCACGAGAACAGTCATGAATTACACACAGGTGACACAAGGAGTTCGAGAACAGTCATGAATTACACACAAGTGACACAATGAACACGAAAACAGTCATGAATTAGACACAAGTAACACAAGGAGCACGAGAACAGTCATGAATTACACACAGGTGACACAATGAGTACGACAACAGTCATGAATTACACACAGGTGACACAATGAGTACGACAACAGTCATGAATTACACACAAGTGACAGTGAAGTCTTAAACTTTAAACAGCTGATTTTAGCAAGAATGTCCTATTTCTTACGCTGTTTTGATAAGGTACTAAGTTCTCATTATTTTATACATAGCTTGACAATACTCAGAGTTATTTACTGGAAAAACTAGAGTTGATATGAAGCCTTTGTTTATCTGACTACCTCTGGATCACAAAAGACAAGTGAAATTAGACAAGATGTCATGATACACAGGTCTGATTTGCTCAATAAAAATCTGGATTAAACAATGATTTAGGCAATATATATGAGTAATAAGCTATTAAGGTGGGACTGTTTTATCATATCATAAAAGCCTTAAAGATTTAAAATATTATAGAGGAGTTCAATTTCCATTGTCTTTTTTTTGTTTCTAGGGCAGCTTTCCAATATGGAGTCAAAATGGCAGATGGTCGAAAAACGAGACGAGCCGGACCCAAGGATGAGAAGGCCGAGCTAGACAGGCAATGGCAGAAGATACAGAACATCTTACAGAAAAGAAAAACAGGAGAAGCTGGACACGATGTAGAACACAAGAAGAAAAAACATTGAAACAGAGTGGCTATCCAATGTGTCCAATTAAAGAGGAAAATATACTGTGACAGTTAACATGTTTCACATTGTGATATAACAATACAAGAAAAAAAAGAAGACTGACAGGACAGAAGCATTTATATATATTGGAATACATCAACACTGGAAAAAACTTGACATGGAGGATCATCAGGAAATCTTCTCATCTAAATTTTAATCAGTAAATGACAAGAAATTGATTTCTCCATGTGCTTAGAAGGAAATTTTTCTTGTCCAAATTGCATGAAGTACTGTTTCAGAGTTTGTAAAATCAGAAATAAAGCAATAACTGAAAAATTAATTTCAGATATTGTATGAGAATTTGAACGTTGTTGTGTAGATGTTCTTGAAATTCACCACCAACATCGCTAAAACACGATTTTTATATATTGTTGACAACAAAAGCTACACCAATTTCTTATCAACAAATTAATAGGTCTTAATTAAATTGAAAATATTCACTTTTGACAAAAGTAATGTCTACAAATGATCTAATGACTTGATAGAGTCTTTAAAATTATGTGAGAATTGAACACGAAATAGAATTGACGGGTGATTGGTTTTCTCCCTTGTCTGTGCTATGCATTGGAGATATTAATATTTTTTATCATATATGAGTGCCAGAGAGTGGAAATCATATATTTTGATGAAGAATTTCAATTCAATCCACATAAAACAATTTTTTTGCTAGATAATTCATGTCAAAATTTTAAGTGTTTGTCAAAATGTATCAAGTGTAACTCCTTCAACCTGTAATACAAAATCTAAAATGCATTACTTTGTAATGTAGATAATAATGCATTACTTTGTAATGTAGATAATAATGCATTACTTTGTAATGTAAATAATCATGAAGAAGCTTGACATGATGTTACATATAAACAGACAGAAGAACATGCTGATAAATGGTATTTAATTCCCATACAGACACAAAACAAATGTCTTGTAATGACCAGAAAACTTGATATACTGAAAAATCATTAATTTTCGTGGGGGATTGATTTTCATAGGATTTGTGGATACTCTAAATCCACAAATATATATGTCAATGCAATGAAAGTATATATATGAAATCAAATACCAGCGCAAACGTATATTTTTTTGAAAATCACAAAATATGAGCCGCATCCAAACATATATTTTACAATGAAAGCAGATTAAATATGAAGACATTTTACCTATATAAAAAGATAGCATATACTCACTGACATTAACATTAGCACAAAACTGGGGCCAAAAACTTCAGTGTTTGAATAAAAATAGAAGAGAAAAATGTTTTCACATAAGCTTGAGGTTCCTCAATATTTTAAATGATCATGAAGGAAGAATTTTGTTGTTAGTAAAATTGATGATATCATTAGGCTTGCCAGGTTTCAGATTCCTTCTGTCCAGTTCACCATAAAAATAATTGTACAGAATAAACATCTGAAAAATCTAAACAGAAACGTGTCTTATTTTTAGCTCATCACCTCTTTTGCCTATGCTCAGTCTGTTTGTCCGTCAGTGGATCCCATAAATAATTGTTACTTTCAGTGGCTTCTTGGGATTTTGATCTTTCAGGTTTGTTACTGTTTTGAAGAACTTCTTGATGTCTGCAGGTATAAGTCACAATTTAAGCAGGCAGGCAGTAGCTACTTTATAGTTATGTAGGTACTGGAGACGGCAGGCAGTGGCTACTTTATAGTTATGTAGGTACTGGAGACGGCAGGCAGTGGCTACTTTATAGTTATGTAGGTACTGGAGACGGCAGGCAGTGGTTACTTTATAGTTATGTAGGTACTGGAGACGGCAGGCAGTGGTTACTTTATAGTTATGTAGGTACTGGAGACGGCAGGCAGTGGTTACTTTATAGTTATGTAGGTACTGGAGACGGCAGGCAGTGGTTACTTTATAGTTATGTAAGTACTGGAGACGGCAGGCAGTGGTTACTTTATAGTTCTGTAGGTACTGGAGACTGCAGGCAGTGGTTACTTATAGTTATGTAGGTACTGGACTTTATAGTTATGTAGGTACTGGAGACTGCAGGCAGTGGTTACTTTATAGTTATGTAGGTATTGGAGACGGCAGGCAGTGGTTACTTTGTAGTTATGTAGGTACTGGAGACGGCAGGCAGTGGTAACTTTGTAGTTAATTAGGTACTGGAGACCGCAGGCAGTGGTAACTTTATAGTTAATTAGGTACTGGAGACTGCAGGCAGTGGTAACTTTGTAGTTAATTAGGTACTGGAGACGGCAGGCAGTGGTTACTTTATAATTAATTTGGTACTGGAGACGCCAGGCAGAGGTTACTTCAAACTTTGTACAGACTTACAAAGTATGCCATCACTCCTACATATTATGCCTAAACGAGCTTGTGCCATTGTGTGGCTTCTGTCATGGAATCTTCTAGCATCATTGTGTGTTCATTTTGATCTATGCTGGTTGTAGTGCTGTTCTTTCTAGTTATTGTGCTGCATATTTTGTTGTTGTATCTCAAATTTTATTTCTTATTCTTTACAATTAGTTTTTCTAGCAGTTCATTCAATAAAAGCAGACATATCTCATTATTTCGCCTATATTCTTTCTCATAAACCCTGCAAGCAAGCTTCAATTTCATTTCAAAATCATGAATACACCTATTAAAAGGTTTTCTGACGGGGACATTCCTGTCTACCTGTTGAATCTAGTTTCACTTAGCCAGTATCTGATTCTTGAATATTTTCACAGGTCTCATATAAGATAGAAAATAGTTTACTTTACACTACTACACATCACTGTCATCAGTATGCGCCTCACTGAGCGATATACCGGAAGCCGCCATTTAGAGCAATAAGGCTAAATTTGTCTTGTCGATGCACACCCAGACTGGTCCGTTTCTAAACTTCCTTTGAAACACAAATCGCCCCGGTAAGGGAGCTCGAACCACACACTTTTAAGCCAACGCTCCAACCGACAGAGCCATTGCGATCTCCTGTTACGATCCAGTGGACGAACGAAACTAACTAAAAATTAAATGACGTAACTTACACGTACTTCGTTTCAATTGAAGTTCTGTGGAGTGACCTTATTTGTCCTTGATGTTAAGTCATACACCAATTTTCGTGGAACGTCTTTTTTCCGTCGATGCTTGACTATCAAACTTGACCTTAGAACAAGACAGTCCTGCTCTTTATCAACAGTCAGCTGGCCAGGTGTATTGTTGAACTCTCCGTCGCTGAAGATATATTTCACCAAAGATACGTAAACAGATTATTTTGTGATACCACAATTTTTCCAAACAATTTTTGAATAGTTTCTAAAAGATTAAACAAAATAAAAACATATTACTTGCTTACTAAAACGGAATAATTCTTTAAATTTTAGCATTTTGTAAGGAAAACAATTAAACGTTTGCCTTCGAACAACATCTCCCTGAATGGATTAAAAATCTGATGGCATCTTATCGCATCTAATTTATTCACTCTAATATACACAGGGCTTTGACGAATATATATTACTTTCCTTAATTTCTTTGGATATTTTTAAATGATCTCAAAATGTGTTTTAATTGGTGTGAAATGTCTACAAGACAAATATGTCAAAATGTCTTTGTTGTAACATTGAATTAGAAAGCATTCCATTTCTTTGGATTGCTTGGTCGCAAACTAAATGAAAAATAGTTATTTCGTGGTTTCCGTAATAATTGGTATATGTTTTATTGCAGAAAAAATGTTTCAAAAATCAACTTTAGGGGAGTTGAAAATCAAGGCTAGTTGATCAACATATGAGAAGTGAACTATATTGCAGGACAACTAAATGTACAGTACATGTAAAATAAAATAAAAACCATCTCACGGGATAAACAGTGCTCCGGAAAAATCTGTCCCTACAATGTCGAATATTACGGCTTTTGTGGCATTTATAACACAGAATATTGAATTAATAATAGTAATAGTTTAATATCAATTCCATGAAATTCTCTTTGTGTAATTAACATTTCTGATATGGGATGTACATATGAGAATTGAAGAACTTTCAATGTTGGGCTGCTTGACTGATTTGGAGCTGTTTTGAAACCCTTACGAGAAGGTTATCCCAATTTATGCAAATGAGCTTTTAATAACATTTCAAGCTAATTTTTAAAGACGTATTTCATTTAATTTTTATCTCGCCTGAGACGAAAAGTTGCGAAAGCAAGACAATGGCGTTACTTTCCTAGAGGTCTCATCAACATTTCATTTTAAAGTTTTCCGTTTGATTAAGTTTGTTGCTCAGACTAAAGTAAGTCCAACTTCAAGTAACAACACGCACACTATTTACAATTACAGTTTAACTTACAGACTTTACGGTCCAGCAGTATTTTAACATAACAACATGCCCTGCTCTATTAGTGTGGTAGTTTTTGAGTGTGAAATGCAAAGCTGCATTAAAATTCAACGTCAGGAAATCCGTATTAGAAGTACATAAGCGGGGAGATGATGGGCGTCAGAACGGTACTTTTAATCATCACCATGCCCAAAATTGACAAAATATATTCAAATGAGTTAATCATTTGTGCAAATTTGAAATCTGATATTCAAACTATTTATTTTTTATTTGGTGATATGCGACTAGCTAATAATTATTATTCAGTCATTGCATGAAGTTTGTTAATTTGTAAAAGGAATGTAAAACATGTAATAAAGTCATCATGCTACACTTTGACATAATATCCCATGTCCACTAACGGAAGTGGAGACATCAGTCTTCGTCTCGTCAGTAACAGAAGTGTATAATGTACATCATTAGGCAGAATTGTCGGAGGTAGGACTTGAGGCTTTCGTTATTTTTGCGTGTGTAGGGGGTAGGATATATTTTGTACTTCATATAAACGCTAGTACCTATTGTAAGCGTTCGAAATACAACAAAAATATTTGAAAGAAACAACATTCCGAAAAGTTCCTTGCTGTCTATCCAGAGACCCTTAGATAGAATGCTCTTTTTGGCGTTATCTTTTTTTATTTATCTATATATTGATTAATTTATATACCATAGTTTTTTGTTTGTTTGGTTTTTTGTTTTGTTTTTTTGATGAGAGGAGAGGTTGTTGTTGCTGTTGTTGTTGTTTTTTTGTTATTGTTTTTTTATTGAACCAGTAGATTGAAACAAACGTTTTACAAAGTTCCGATCCGATTTCGTTTAAGAGGAAGAAAACCATTAAATAATATCAGGGACATTTTTATAAAGGATGACACGTGCATACGTTTTCATGTTATTGACTTTATTTTGCTGCAGTTTAAATTTATTAGTATCTGGGGAGTCTTTTTTATCCTCGCGATTTCTCGTAACCTAGCCATCATCTTTTAAAGTTCAGAGGTCATCCACGATTTTCATTGGGTCTTATAGATACTTATATAGTGAGAATACACTAATTAGCAAAAAATTAAGAAAACATCAGTTTAGCGGTCACGTGCTATAAGTGTGTTCACAGAATCACAATTACTGAAGAGGTCGACACATTTGTAAGTTTAGGCAAGGTAATTGAATTGTTCATAATCTACTGTTATAAATCCACATTTTACGTATATAGTTAGGTTTTAAAGAACAAGAGGTAGTGACACAAGCAGTGCAGTCATCATGGTCACGTGCTGATCTATCGATCCGTACGACAGAATAATCAATACACGAAATCAATGATTCACAAATGTAAAAAAAAATTCGGTAACAAGGTTTCATTTTAAAATTGGGAAACATACATAAACAAACTTACAAATTAATTCATTTAGATTTTAAAGTATATTTGTAGGACATGGCATTTATTTAACACAATTGACCAGAACGATTTCACCTGGTGCGTTCTAGTACTATCAAAGAACCCGATAACAAGGACAAGTTATCAATGTCTGTTTCCATGGGACGAGTTTAAAGATTGCCGAAACATCTGCCATTGATATCTATATATATATTGGCGGGGAAGCTCTGGAATCATCATTGTGAAGAAGTCACCGACCAAGCGAACGTCAACACGATGACGAGCAAGGTATGTCATTATATCTACGTAGCAGTACTGGTTAGTGGGTATTTTCAATAGTCCAAGACAGAGTTAAATCAAGACAAACATATATTTTAGTCAAATACATATACGTATTTGAAAGTATAACATTATTTTTTTAAACTAAGCACATGCATATGTTTAAAGATGCAACATCTTTTACACGTCTGTTTTCGTTTTTGAACAAACATTTTTATTGGAATACAATGCCGAGTGTTGGAATGTGCAATATTCAAATGAAACTATTTGAAAAACACGAATTCATTCAGAATGATATGAAAATGCATTCTTTAATAATTAAGATCGCATATGAAGAACAGTTTATGAAAGTGTATTCCGTTGATTGAGCACATCTTAAAATAAACAGGAACTACTTGGGTTTCCTTTCATTACTTTAGAATGAATTTCTAGCGGATATCGGGTATCAATCAAACGATGACAAAAGGCCGCCGAGGACACCGATAACGTTCAGTTTGAAGAATATAATACAAAGGAAACGAGAAAGAGAAAAGGGGGAAGTAAATCTAATTGACACGCGAACGGCTATTTAGTTTCAAAGGCCAAGAATGAGAGAGAAAAAAACAGATATGAAGTATGGGTTTTTCTAGTTTTGGATTTGTGCCGCACAGGAAAATGATATGATCGTCATTGAAATTATTTCTTCATATAGATATCGTAGCCTTTACTGTTTATTGACTGGGGACAGCTTTAGTCATATCAGTCAATAGCTCAGCGGAGATTAGCTTTAACAAACAACACTTGCAAAATGTCTCTTCGCGACCAGTTAGTACTTTCTGTATTCTTCAAATATGGCCGACGGAGAAATATATATATATATATAAAAAGGCAGGACTGGTTGGTTGGTTGGTTGGTTGTTGGTCGATAGGTTTTCTGTCTCCTGTCTCCTCTCGTTGCTGGGTATCGTCTCACCCGACAACGGCAGGAGTGGCGGAGACGGGATTTGTTGGTTGGTTGGTTGTTGGTTGACAGGTTTTCTGTCTCCTGACTCCTCTCGTTGCTGGGTATCGTCTCACCCGACAACGGCAGGAGTGGCGGAGACGGGATTTGTAATTTGGGGGGAAATTGAAAGATATTTTCATTATTCTTTTGACTCTGATGACCATAATGAGTGGGTTGTTTTTTTATATCAAAACTGATGATTTGAAAGATATTATGTTTATTTTTGTTCAACACTTTCTATATTTAATTCTGTTTTTTTTTAATAAAGAAGTTTTATGATTGAGTGGCTGACTTCACTTCAATAGCTTAATACATACGTTTGGTGTGCAAGTCATCACATCAACAGAACTTCACCATTGTCAATCCAAATAACATTTCTCTATCTGCAAAATGTTCGCCTGCAGCTCTCCCTCCCATTCAAAGCAGAAATTATATTTTTTTGTAACTCCGTCAAGGTACATTCGATCTTGATTGACATGCCGTCATCAAAGACAGCTAAATTTGACACAGATAATGGAATTTCTTGTTCGTCGTTTTGCAATTAGATTTTTCATCTCCTACTGAAGACAAGAATCCTCTAATATGTAAAATGTTAGATTTGATCATGTTCCTCCGTCTGTTTGCAGTGTATGCTGTCCATCTTGTTGCTCGGCCTGTTTGGTGTTGTCAACGCCATTCATCAGGCGGATATAGACAAGCTTGTCAAGGACATAGATGAACTCGCCAGGCATCTTATGCTTCAACAGCTCGTCATTGAGGAGAGGATCCGGTCTGATGGAAACTCTGGAGTGAAACAAATCCGAGGCACCCACAAAGGAACCAGGGCTTATTTTGGCGATACATTCAGCATGGGCTCAATGATGTCCATTCATGATCACACCAACTACGACAGGACCATTGGTATGGGCGAATTCAGTGCCGTTATGAACGGAGTAGAGTTCAGAACAAGACACAACGACTACAAATTGCGCATGCCAAGTGAAAACAGCACGAAGTTCCATCTTCTCCAAAACGTGCCATTTCCAGATGTTCCACCATCGGTGAAGGCAAAACATAGCGTGGCCGACCAAATCAATGAGATGCGAGAGTATTTCAGGGCCTTCAAGGAACAAAACGCTTCCATCCGTCACGACTATCGCAACTACTTCAAACCAGTATTGTGCTATGTGGAAGGCGCCTGGACCACGGATACAAAGACTATCAGTGAACCTTTTCACAGTGACCGCCATTTCTTAGATGCATCCAGTTGGTTCGATCTCTTAGAAAAGGTTCGATTCACATCCTACACTGGAGGGAAAAGCAACAATGAAAACTACAGCTTCCTTCCGACAACAATCACCGATGTTGTAGACGGAGCCCCGGTTTATGCCCAATGGAATTACAGAATTGTCTGCCACCCGATCCGCTCATCTCTAATGACGCTCAGTAGTTTGGCTCTCATCGACGATCTGGGTGTTCGGATGGCTCGTAGATTTTCGTTTGAAAAAGCATACAGTCAGAGAACTGCGCGATTCCGAATAAATCCTCGCGGCTACAACCAGTACAACAGTACAAAACTGGCTTCAGAGAAACTTGACCTAGAATATACAGGGGTCGAAGTTCTTGATTTCATAATGAACGAAATACCGGGGAAGGACAACTATCACCATACCCTGACAGACAATACTTTTGGTGATGAGAAAACGATGCTTAATAACGGTAAGAGTCCACAGAATGCTGCCTATTACCATCGGCTGACAGACTCAAAACTTGGTGATTCACAGGGAGATCACATCTCTTACAAGGGGTTCTCCGACGAAAATCTTTGGGTAGCTGAAACCACGCAGCCAAGAGTAGCTCCGATGACTATTTCAACCTGCAAGTACAACGCCAGTCTTCAAGACGTGTCGTGTAGTAATTCCACCGTTCGTTATTCCTACGCGTTTCCCTTGGAAATTATCTGGATGACCCCACTTTACATGTGGAATCCGTACGATTTGGAATTCAACGCTGATAATAAAATCCCACCACTTCATGGAAGAAGTGGTGGCACTAATGCCACAACGGCGTTCAACGGAACAAGCATGTCTTACTACTACTTTACACCTACCGATTTTTTCAAAAGTAACGAAGTTGGCCGTGATCCTGCAGACACTGCAAAGGATGTAGTTGGTGTACTTGACAAGCACGGGCACGTGCGACTCGTCAAACCGTCCGGCACGCGCATCATTCTTCCCGAAATTGAAGGCGTTGGAAAGCTTCGAACCCGGTATCCGGTAGCCCCATCCTACCATGAAGGCAATCCAATGTACAAAGAATTGGATGCTTTGAAAGAAATGGTATTGGACATACCCAAAAATTTGAAGTTCTTCGAAGCTCCTCCATTCGGAACAAAAAACATTCAGGCATCGAACCCAGATGACAAACTGCAACACTTCACTACAACATTTACTCACAAGACTCCACCTGGTCTTCATCAGCATGAAGTTTTCGTAGACTCGCGTGACTGGTGGGCACTCACACATAACCGTAAAGTCACCGTCATTACCACCGACGACAACGAGCACAGTCACACATTACAGCTACAGAGAGACGCACACAACCACGACCAGATCAACATTGTGTCATGTGACAACGTTCCACACTGTTGGGATGGGCACGCCAGCACCCTTCTCCGGGTGACGGAATAACTGTCGATGTCTCTGACCAAAACGTATTATAAAAAAGAAATAAAATGAAAATGCAAACGAATTTACGCTTTTCTTTGTATCAGATTCTTTGATGTGTGCCCTTTCGTTATCTAGTCCCGATGTTTCAGGCTAGACGTTTACCTTATGAGCTACAGAAGTACATTCCTAGTCTTCGGCAACTGCCCTGGATATATATAAATCTGGGGAATAAACAAATCAACATCGGCAAATACAAATATATGGAAGGACTAATTTTTATAGGAGGAAATGGCAGTAGGATAGGATTTGATTAGAATGTCGGTACATTGAGAGATACATGTGCATGATTTGTTAACAATGTGTTTCATTAGATAACACTACAACACTTTCGTTATGATATTTCCCAATAACCACATAATGTACGTGGCTCGGCAATTTCTATCGGACAGCTTTCAGTTTTCTGGCATACAATAGTGTTGAAGTGTCCTTTCAAATTTAGAATTAGATACAGTAGTGACAATTACTGAATTCAAACTTCTGTTTCGTCCTTTTTGAACCCTGAAGTGATGATATGGACTTAAATTTAGAAACATATGGCGTGACTGAGGAAAAGTCCAAAGTGATCGAAAAAAAATCTCAAAATCTAGATGAGGAGGTGCTCTTACTCAGTAATTCTATACGATTCCTAATTTTCATATATCTGATAGTTTCACAAGAATATCAAGTACATGTAGATGTACTAACGTGACACAGTAGTCTACCAGCTGTATCTACCACCTGCTATCTCAAAGGCTGTACAAAAGACACACAACTGACTAGGATATACCAGGTGTGTTCAGAGCGACTTAAATGCCCACCACGACAATCGAATAAAAAGTTTGGAACCTTTTTTTTTATGTTATTGACTCTGGTAAGAGGTGTTTTCTGATGACTAATTAAAATAAAACTGAAGTTCTGTCTGCCGAATCTATAGTAAAGAATGTGAAAGAATTAAAATTCCGTCTTTAAAAAAAAAACATCCCCATTGGAGTTATACAAGGTTTTCCAATATTACTCTGACCATCTTTATTTCATTTTTGAAAAAAGTATTAATAGTCTTAAAAGTTAAATAAAAAAAGCTTTGAAAAAATATTTTTAATAAATCAAAACTTGACCTGTATATCATTACACAACTACAAAATTACAGTTCAATACCTGTATTTGTGTAAGATTAAATTGAGAGGAAAAAATATGAATGACAAGGTTAACACTATTTGATAACGGAGGACATAACAGAATATCACATGTTCATTCTTTTCTGATTTAATGAATTTTAATCACAAAATCATACAATTGCTATTCGAAGAGCTCTAAAGAGAAAAGTTAATAGGAAAACCATTGAAATATTACATTTCAATTTGTTTTACCAACCAGACACTGCATTTTTTGTCTGCATTTTGAACAGTGGAACTGCAAATTCCAAAATATCCCAAAAGACAATAACTACGAATAAATAAACTGCAAATCTGCAGTTGTCTTTTATTCTATTGTCTGCACGGTTTTAAGAGAACCAACTTAGATGTTAGTGAAACAGTTTGTCATTGTTCTGCCAGAAACCTTCCATTTTTTAATAAAAGGAAGAACCATAGCCGAATGTTTTAGCAGTGTCTTCAAACAGCACTAACACTCCACCTCTGGGTCGTGTTGTTACTTTTTAGACGGATTGCTCAAACACTACATGACGGGGAAACATGAAAGTCAATTTTTAAAGACAGACTGGAGACTAATAACAGTAGATATCTAAACAAGCCAATATACCCCTGCTTTGTCATTTTCACACTTCTAAACCAGTAATGCTATATGGTCCATTCTATCATGACATATCCAAAATTCCAGGATTCCTTGATAAATAACATTGTTTTCCTGGCAATAGCTAGCTACTAACCTACATATAGAGACGTATACATAGCAACCATCTTATTTTACCACCTTAACTACTTTCACTTGTATATCAAAGCTACTGATCATAATTTTCACTGGTCTTGCACATAGCTGAAGGTTGATGGTAAATAAATTGTGACCAATGCCTGTTTTGCTTATTGCTCACATTTCAACAATGCTTCCCTTCCATATTCTGTCCTCAACTATGTAGAAATTATTGCATTTCTGGTTCTGTGTCTCAATTGTTCAATTAATAATTGACACATCTGTGGGAACTCACGGTTTCCTTTTGGTTTTCAGACACTGTTGAACTTTTTTACTTGAAATGAAGGACAAGGCATACTCTTCTACATCTGTGGCTTAACCTTTAACTTGACTTCAAACCAACAGGAAGCTTTCCTATAAACTGTACAAAAATTAGCATTCCGAATACATGTCACCCTACATTATAGTAAATTTTCCATTTATTGATAGTTACCACAAAGTTTCTTTCTCACAGTTAATATTCATAAGCATGCTCTTAGTAAAATGTCCTTGAACATTGAATCACAATTCTTCGGAGAGACATTCATTTGCAACAACATAGTCAAAAAACAACAGCTGATGATATTACCTGAAAGTTCATGACCTTCTCAGGAAATATCTACTTCTAAGAGTGTGTTTGAAGCACATAAGAATGCCTGTCAGAATCTACGTTATTTACCTAGCCCTCACTGAAGAACATGACATACCTTACTTGGACTAAACAAGCTGTTCTCAAAATATCTAAATTCCATTCCTCCATTTCCTTACATAGTGACAAGAATAGCAAATAAAAAAACAATAACCAATGATATCATCAGGTTAATAAAATTCATTTATTGTCAAAACACAAATATATATACTTGAAACTACTTCCTAACAAAGTCATTTTATGATTTGCACTCCCAAGTTCTTATGGCATCTTAATACAGATATATGTTTAATAAAGCAAACTTGATCAACCACTCACATAAAAATGTAAATAACAACATTTGAATTTTTTCCTCACCTGACGTAGACTTCTGTATTTAGCCTAGTATACAGTGCTCTTGAATTCCATTTATCACCAAGTTATTTATTTCACTTGTAGCACATTCCTGACATGAAATTCAACAATACTGACTTTCCTTAATATGAGTCAGAATTGAAATAAAATTCAACTGTCAATTCACATACTGAATGTAATCTAATGGGTCGTACGAGTCAGAATAGAAATAAAACTCAAATGTCAATTTACGTATTGAATACAATTTGATGGGTGATATATGTTTAAAACCCATCACTGATCAAGTTGTTCTTCAAAAACTGGTATTAAGATACTTAGTGATGTCTGTAAATGAAGGACTATCATGCTTACAGCTATGCTGTCAGTGATATTGTTTTTATCAAATATTAAGCCTATCGTATTATCGTATAACTATTAAACAAGCTCTCACATAGAATTACAAATATTATTCCATTGCCCTGCGAGAACCTTATACCTTGATTTTCAGTTATCTATTTATGTTGGCCCTCGGACTTATTTCAGGATAAAAAATGTGTATACATGACCACAATGTTACATTTCTAATATATTCATGCTGACTGTGAAATATCACAAATAAATACTGGAAAACCAACTTCAGGCATGTCTCACTTGTCATTTCCATACCACCATGCAGCATTCAAAAGAATATCTTATTCTTTGCCTTGCATACCCAAACATCAACAACTATTATTAAAAAAATCCAGATGTATGCTGTACATTCAATGAGATATTCATGATAACTGTCGTGATGAAATATTCAACATGAATGAGATATAAATTCTTTAATGTCCACGAGGAATTACTTGTGCCTTCCTATGGCCAGCCATTGTGGTGTTATGGTAGATTTTGGTCGGCACCTATCAGAACATGAGTTTCAATTTAAATGACCAAGTGTCGTGTATTTCCTAAAAAGAAAAACAACATCAATATATAAAACTGACTAGAAACAAACCTTATATTTTTTTGGAAAATTGAATTAATTAATGGAAAATTTTAAACTAGCGTATCGGTGAAACTGATGAATGCTTTCGGAAAACGACTTTATTGGACACAAAATTTTAACAAAGCACCATAATTCTGTAATTAAGGAGTTGCAGGCCCTGAATTTTGCATACTACATTCTACTAATATGACCAATGTCTACAGAATGAGAAATGCTATGCACAGGGACTGAAGAATTTTACTTTCAGACCAATCTATACACATAGAGTATTTGAACTGCAGCCAATTTTAACTTTTTTGGTCACACCTGTCAGCCCCTAGGGGTTAGGTCACAGAAAACACTATTAGACCCTTTAGTCCAAGAAGACTATTTCAATCTTCCATATTTGGATCTCAGAAGATGATTTTAGAAATTTCATTCTCTTTGACCCTTTTTTGACCACACCGATCAGTCCCTGTGGGTCAGCCAGGTTCAATATATGCCTAACATTGAAATGTTAGACTATACTAATGATTCTAACCATGTTTGATCTATAAGTAAAAATATGTGACCCTGGGGTTATGAAATTTACAATTTTGGTTAAAAAAGATCTTAGACATTGTCTCAGGTAATCTTACAAATTGTCTCTCTGATAAGTATAGACCCTTTTTTGGCCCTGCTATTTAGACATTGTCTCAGGTAATCTTACACCATTGTCTTTCTGATAAGTATAGATCTTAGACATCATCTCAGGTAATCTTACAAGATTGTCTTTCTGATAAGTATAGATCTTAGACATTGTCTCAGGTAATCTTACAAGATTGTCTTTCTGATAAGTATAGATCTTAGACATTGTCTCAGGTAATCTTACAAGATTGTCTTTCTGATAAGTATAGATCTTAGACATTGTCTCAGGTAATCTTACAAGATTGTCTTACAAGATTGTCTTTCTGATAAGTATAGATCTTAGACATTGTCTCAGGTAATCTTACAAGATTGTCTCTCTGATAAGTATAGATCTTAGACATTGTCTCAGGTAATCTTACAAGATTGTCTTTCTGATAAGTATAGATCTTAGACATTGTCTCAGGTAATCTTACAAGATTGTCTCTCTGATAAGTATAGATCTTAGACATTGTCTCAGGTAATCTTACAAGATTGTCTCTCTGATAATAATATCTCAGGTAATCTTACAAGATTGTCTTTCTGATAAGTATAGATCTTAGACATTGTCTCTCTCTGGTAATCTTACAAGATTGTCTTTCTGATAAGTATTAGATCTTAATCTTACATTAAGTCTCAGGATAATCTTACAATTTCACACTATTGTCTCTCTGACAAGTAATCTTACAAGATTGTCTATAAACACTGATAAGTTAAAACAAAACTTATTATTGTCTCAGGTAATCTTACAAATTGTCTCTCTGATAAGTATAGATCTTAGACATTGTCTGAGGTATATTTGTCTTTCTGATAAGTATGATCTTAGATATTCAGTGTTACAGAGTTTGGGTCTTACAGCCATTGTCTTTCTATAAAAAAATAAACTTGATAGATCTTCAATACTCTGTAGGTTTAGTTGTCTCAGGTATCTTACAAGCATTGTCTCTCTGATCTCTTAAGTATGCTTTGGCTAGCTTCACATATCTTAGCTTATCCAATGGAGTTCTTCGAACTGCAAAAGATTGAAGTAAAAATATGGAAATTACAAATAGGAATTAAAGTATGAAGAAATTCATTCAAATTTTTGCTATAACATCCATTACATAACTGTCTTGTTATCAGTGTTAAAACACCCATTACATAACTGTCTTGTTATCAGTACTATAACACCCATTACATAACTGTCTTGTTATCAGTGTTATAACACCCATTATATAACTGTCTTGTTATCAGTGTTATAACACCCATTATATAACTGTCTTGTTAGCAGTGTTAAAACACCCATTACATAACTGTCTTGTTATCAGTGCTATAACACCCATTACATAACTGTCTTGTTATCAGTGTTATAACACCCATTATATAACTGTCTTGTTATCAGTGTTATAACACCCATTACATAACTGTCTTGTTATCAGTGTTAAAACACCCATTACATAACTGTCTTGTTATCAGTGCTATAACACCCATTACATAACTGTCTTGTTATCAGTGATATAACACCCATTACATAAATGTCTTGTTATCAGTGTTATAACACCCATTATATAACTGTCTTGTTGTCAGTGCTATAATGCCCATTATATGGATGTCTTGTTATCAGTGTTATAACAGTCATTACTTTTTTGATATTACATATTTTTAAAATTACCTTGTGAAGTTGTCAATGACTGAAAGTTTCCATTGTGATGTCACAAAGCAACACATGCATTTTGTATCAGTCTAATAAAATGCTGCCTTTTACAAAATTTTACAAAATCAATCTTATGCTTGTTTCCATATTACATGTGATCTTTTAAAGTCATCACAATTTACTTGGCTTTGTAAAATGACAAGTTTGAAGACTAGTTTTATAAATCACATATCAAGATGGAAACTCATGTCAGATGGCTAATGCCTTCTCTATAAATGACACAATTCTAATGTTACTCAAGCTATATACTTTCCAAACTACTTACTATCAACATATCTGTTGCCCAGATATTCTTTGTCTTTTTTCAAAACTTCAGGTAAGTCTTCTTCACTTATCAAGCAGTAGGCAACGCCATTGTGAACACCTTGTGGAGTATGGCCTATTAGTATTTTAGATGCTGGCACACCTGTTTACAAAACATATCAATAAAAGAGTAAGTCCAAAAATAACTTGTCACATGAATTCAACAAAAATCTCTTTAATAGCCAACAGGACAGACATAAACATACAAAGGTTTTTTTTTAACAAGAGAGTTCTTTGTTGATAACATTAAATTTCCCATCTGCCTTCAAAACTGAACAGGTAAGATAAATCACTCAATTAAGTTGGTGCAAAGTAAACCTGATTCCCTAAATTACATGTAACATCAATGGATAAAGTATAACAACAGCTCTCCTTAAATTATATCAGCAGAGCACGAGTGTAGAGTATTAGCTTGGGCAGAATAGGCCCTACACAGCTCCAGCTATTTGTTGTAGAGACCTGCATTCCTTGCATACAGCATAAATAACCCTATCTCTATCCCTACAATGATCAATCCCTAGAGCTTACCCTAAATAACCCTGACTCAATCCCTACAATGATCAATCCCTAGAGCTTACCCTAAATAACCCTGACTCCATCCCTACAATGATCAATCCCTAGAGCTTACCCTAAATAACCCTATCTCTATCCCTACAATGATCAATCCCTAGAGCTTACCCTAAATAACCCTGAATCCATCCCTACAATGATCAATCCCTAGAGCTTACCCTAAATAACCCTGACTCAATCCCTACAATGATCAATCCCTAGAGCTTACCCTAAATGACCCTGACTCCATCCCTACAATGATCAATCCCTAGAGCTTACCCTAAATAACCCTATCTCTATCCCTACAATGATCAATCCCTAGAGCTTACCCTAAATAACCCTGAATCCATCCCTACAATGATCAATCTCTAGGGCTTACCCTAAATAACCCTAACTCCATCCCTACAATGATCAATCTCTAAAGCTTACCCTAAATAACCCTGACTCAATCCCTACAATGATCAATCCCTAGAGCTTACCCTAAATAACCCTGACTCCATCCCTACAATGATCAATCCCTAGAGCTTACCCTAAATAACCCTGACTCCATCCCTACAATGATCAATCCCTAGAGCTTACCCTAAATAACCCTGACTCCATCCCTACAATGATCAATCCCTAGAGCTTACCCTAAATAACCCTGACTCCATCCCTACAATGATCAATCCCTAGAGCTTACTAAATAACCCTGACTCCATCCCTACAATTATCAAAATTTTACCCTAAATAACCCTGAATCCATCCCTACAATGATCAATCCCTAGGGCTTACCCTAAATAACCCTGAATCCATCCCTACAATGATCAATCCCTAGAGCTTACCCTAAATAACCCTGAATCCATCCCTACAATGATCAATCTCTAGGGCTTACCCTAAATAACCCTAACTCCATCCCTACAATGATCAATCTCTAAAGCTTACCCTAAATAACCCTGTCTGGCTAATCCCTACAATGATCAATCCCTAAGCTTACCCTAAATAACCCTGACTCAATCCCTACAATGATCAATCCCTAGATATTCTTACCCTAAATAACCCTGACTCCATCCCTACAATGATCAATCCCTTGTGCTTACCCTAAATAACCCTGACTCCATCACCTGTTTACAAAACATATCCCTAAAAGAGTAAGTCCAAAAATAACTTGTCACATGAATCCATCCTCTTTAATAGCAATGATCAATACCTAGGGCTTATCCTAAATAACCCTAACTCCATCCCTACAATGATCAATCCCTAGAGCTTACCCTAAATAACCCTAACTCAATCCCTACAATGATCAATCCCTAGAGCTTACCCTAAATAACCCTGATAAAGTCCATCCCTACAATATCAGCATCCCTATTAACTTAAATAACCCTACACTATCCCTATTTGTTGTATGATCATTCCTAGCTTACCCTAAATAACCCTGACTCCATCCCTACAATGATCAATCCCTAGAGCTTACCCTAAATAACCCTGACTCCATCCCTACAATGATCAATCCCTAGAGCTTACCCTAAATAACCCTGACTCAATCCCTACAATGATCAATCCCTAGAGCTTACCCTAAATAACCCTGACTCCATCCCTACAATGATCAATCCCTAGAGCTTACCCTAAATAACCCTGACTCCATCCCTACAATGATCAATCCCTAGAGCTTACCCTAAATAACCCTGAATCCATCCCTACAATGATCAATCCCTAGAGCTTACCTAGGAAATTTGCTATTTCTGAATGCCCGACAGTGAATGGGACTCCAACAAGACTGACGTATGTCATACCTTCCTGAAAATAGATAATACATAAAAGTATGTATAAACATGACATTTTAGCAGTCATTGTACAACAATTGCCCTCATCATAAAATTACGAATATTTCCCCATCGTTGGATAGGACTTTCACTCTCAGTAGCTACAATTTTTGTCTGGTTTTACCCCTAGGCTTCAGGCCAAATTCGATGAAAAAGAATTAAAAGAATATGTATGAAGATGCACTAAGTGTCAATGAAACATTGGCTACCCTGATGTAGTTTTGCTCTTGCTTCCTTCTAAAAAATTGTAATTTCTTAAAAGAATTTTTAAAGATATCAGATATCAATTTCAATTTTAACACGATCACCTAGGTCCCTTTGACCATTTAACCTTGATCAATGACCACTAAAATCTGATCAGGTGTAGAGTGTGATGATATGGTGTAGATATCAACTAACTTTGTTGAGGGGTCCACGAGATTTCTTTTACATCTTGTACACAAGACTTGCATGGATAGGAAAAGGAAAAAGGGGTGGAGTAATCCTTGATACTCCAGGGGTTACACTCACTTTCGCTTTCTGCACTCTCATGGCAAAATTGAAGGCACAAGCTAAGTAATTTGATTGGTTCCATGGGAAAAAACTGACCAATCATAGGCTGATACACTCTTTTTGAAGATTACAAAGAAGCGACATCCAACTTCAAAGCCATTACATTATACAGTTAAGTGACCTCGAGATTCGTTTGATGTACATGAAAGAATCAAATTATTTTTTCTTCTCCACGATATCCACATTTAAAATGAAAGACAATGTTGAAGGATATGTAATAAAAAACACCTTTTATAATGAGGACTTTCAGGAAACCTTCAGAAATGATTACAGGAGGTTGATATGAATTTTGACAACAAGAGAGCCAATGGGCCTGCATTGCTCACCTGTAATTCAATGCTTTTCCCAAGTATTTTAACATGTCAACCCACCATCATTTGAAGTCTTGCTAAATGAGAAACAACTGCTTAAAAGTTTGAACAAATTTGACCCCAATGACCTTAAATATGGATTAAGGTAATTCAATTTTGTAAAGTTTGTCAGGTATTTTTCAAGGCTAACAAGTGAATATTATGATTCTAGACTTTTGGTAAAATCAAAAGACATCATTTGAAGGTTTTGACAAATTTGACACCTGTGACCTTAAATACAGAACATGATCATTTCACTTTTTTTTTTGCAAACTTTCTCATGATTCATCCCAGAAACCCACCAGCTGATTATTATGACTTTATGTCTTTCTGTTAATCAGAAGACATTATCAAAGATTTCCTGTTACCATGAATACGGGTCATGCATGGTTGTTTCTTTTTTCAGACTTTGTTGGGTTTCATCCAAATGTTTAATGGGAAAAGTTGATGTTAGATAGAGGGACCAAAGACAACAGGATAACATACAACATCATGAACTCACTTGGCGCTTAGGGCCAGGTGAGCAAATAAAGAATATGGCTTACCGGTATATCTAAGTCTTCAGCATCTACATTGCTGCAACAGAAAGATAATTTTAATATCAGGTAACCCAACAGACACGAAATTTTACAAAGGAGTCTTTTGATTTCAATGTAATCTAATGTTACTAATTATTAAAAAGGTGGGTTTCAAAATGGCCTAAGAAGCAAATACAACAGCTTATATATGTACTTACACAAGAATACCAAAAACGAAAAAAAAATATATGGTTGTTGGGGAAAATGCTACAATATCATTTCTTCATTTTTGAGAAAACTAAACATGAGCCCGCTGATAATAACATGTTAGATATCATATATGCAAGGCAAGAAGTCAGTTTTGAATACATTCGGAACGAGATAAAAATGTGGTCGATTTTGAAAAAGAACATGCTCTTTTTACATTAGGCTTAATCTTCTGAAGGTCAAAGTACAACTTCCTATAGGAGTCCATTTGTAATTATGTGCTAAAATACATCTTCAAAAGTAGCAAATAAATTGTCCATAAATAGTTATTCAGAGTTTTCTCCCAAGGAATTAAAATTGATTGAGAATATTGCTATGTATTGTTTTAAAGAAAACGAGCATAGGGGTAAATCTGTTTTGGACTGAAGTATTGTAAAGTGAACTAAAATAATTTACATTTGGTTTTATTAGTACAAAGGAACTGTCACCTACACTTATAACCCACTAAAGTTAAATTTCAACTTTCAAAATGGTCATCATGCTCCCCAATAACCACAAAAATTAAATGTTCCTACAACAGCTAAATCAACATTCTAACAAGAATGCTAAATGATATATTTAAGTTGGCTTATACATTAAACCACCTAACCTGGGATCCAATAAGGCGTCTTTGTTTTAGAATCTGATAAGCCATGTCAGTATTGGTCTACATCCTACAGTCGTGTCATTCTAATTGTCCAAGTCGTCCCTACCTAATTCCTTGAAGATGAAGGTTGGCAGTGAAATCTATATTACTTGAGGTTTGTCTTAAACCTTTTGACATTTGAATGCTTATGATAAGATAATGTTCACCATAACATTCATATGTGATGTTTTTCTACTTACAGTAATGTTGACCTTGACCTTTGACTTATGAATGTGAAATGCAATAGATTAAAGTCGGAGTGAAATCAGTCTAACAGAACTGGAGGTATTGTGCAGAAATTACCCAGCATGCTAAAAGCCCCTTAACCGTGGACATTTTGGTTTGAAAAGAATTTCAACACATTTGACACCTGTGAATTCGAAAGTGGATCAAGGTAATCAACATGAACAAACTTTGTAGCACTTCATCCTAATTTGACACAGAATTTAACAGTGCCCATTGTAGATGTTACTGGAAATCTTCTAGTATCTTTGTTTATGAAAGTATAATCATTTTGATTCCCAGTCATGGTCAATGGATAATGGGAGAAAAGATATGCATATCCTCTAAGAAAATGAACCAACCAATTTGGAAATGTTTACAAGGTAAAGCAAAATTATTCTTCTTGGTAAACTGTAAAGAAATGGGACCAGACTGGTCATTGCAAATTTTATCTTCCATAACACAATTTAGCAACCTGCCAAGACATTTAAATGAACTTGTCTAACTAGGGACTCAGGGGTGTCCATATCAGAAATTCCAGATGGATCAATCCAGTAAGAAGCATTTCTTAAAATGATTTCTTAGTGATAACAATTTCCAACTTTCCAATATGATCATATGACGACCATTTTTCCCCTGATCATTAGAGAAATTAAACATGCACAATGTAAGACCAAAGGTAATCTACATATTAAAAGTTGAGAAAGATCCATCAAGTTCCTTTCAACAGTCCATGGTAGGCTAAAAACATACAGCTTACAGACAGGTAATGATAATCAAGACTGCATCATTTTTATAATAACAACAACACATCATATTTCAGTTCAGTGTTCCTCACACAATGATATCTCTATCAAAGAATTATTCAGCAGAAACCAAATCATAACAGAATGGCAGACAGAAGCAATGACATATGCATAGACATCAAAATTAACATACCTCTCCATCATGTAATCTACCTGCTTCTCTCTGCATTCAAATACTGAAAATATAATAATAATAATGATGATAATTTATGATAACAGACTAACAGAGCCTGCATTGCTCACCTGGTTTTGCTTTATCCAAACTAAATGATAAGGATTCTTAAATTTGCAATTTGTTCATCACTGGGCTCCACCCCTATCAGACCATGCCCTTCTGCCCCAGGGGACAGACTCCAACCATTTATACAAAATTGATTCTTCTTTATGCAAGGATGCTTCAGACCATTCAGACTAAATGGGACAAATTGTGGTATTCCCTGAAAAGGACTAGAAAGGATTTGCTTTCTGTTTCCCATATTGGGCCCCATCCCTCCCGCCCTATATCACTGAGATACATCGTTTATACAAAACTACTTCTTCACTCAATCATGTTTCATGTCATATTTAGACAACATCCAGGTATTCCTACAGGAAGGTTTTAAAGAATTTGCTCTATTTTCCATATCGGACCTTGCAACAAAGGATGAAAACCAAACGTTTATACAAAACTCACACAAAAATGATTAACTTTCTCCAAAGCATGCTTCAAACAAAAATGGTTCTCGACAGAGCAAATAACAGTAATTTATGGTGCCAAATTCTGCCTCACATACCAATTCAATGAAAGTCAAGGTATATAAAATAGGTACCTTCAAGTAGTCAATATTGTGTAATACATCAAACTGAAGTCCAATGGAATGTTCACTCACCATTAACATATCGAGAACCAATATAGTTGTTATGTTTGTCACAAGCCTTTAGAAGATCATCTCTTGATATTTTTACTACTGCAGTCCCAGTGAATAAACCAGATTTCATATCATATGATATACTATGCACATCTACATCTGAAATGGAAACAGGAGCATTAGATGAGACCTGTAAAGTGTTCCTTAAAGTAACATCATGATAAAAACATTAATTTTATTACTAATTGCGCATATTTTTATACTTTCAGTTACATTACTATGCTATCCTGATATCTACGTTCAATTTCCTATGTCCAGCTTGACCACTTCTTTGGTTTAGGAAACCCCTCTCAAATTTAGCACTGTTAATGTCATATGATAATTTTAAAAACGAGGCACTGTATTTTGTAAACATGAACACATGATGGTAGGCAGAAATGACAGTGAAAGTAATGATAGTCAGTAATAGCTTGTTTTTCAGCATCAGCCTTTGTTTTTGGGTGTGGCAAATGTTATTCAATATCTTAAGTAAATTCAGAATTACTAAATAAGTAACATTAATCATGAACTGTTCCTGGCAGGAAACCATTTTATTTACAGGTGGCATTGTTTTGTGTGTGTGCATTGTCATATATGATGCTAGCATTTACATATCAAGCGTTGATCAACAGATATGAATTTCCCTTTTATAATCATCGACTAGCCTCTTTGTGTGCATATTTCAGTGAAAACCACCTGTCATTGTTCATAAAGTGATATACTTGATATATATATGCAATGATAATAAAAAATAAAAAAATTGGTAAAAAAGAAATTTGTTTAACCATGGTGTCCCTGTAAAGAAATTTTGTATAAAACACAACTATAGAAAGACATTCCAGACATGAGATTCCAATTGGTTATACAACGTGGCAAAACAAATATCAGTTAACAGCCCTAATGGGTAGTGTAACTCGATAACTCATGTAACAGATAACAGCCCTAATTGGTTGTATAACCTGACCACTTCCTTACCAGTTAATAGTCCTAAAGGGTTGTATAACCTGACCACTGACATATCAGTTAACAACCCTAATGGGTTGTGTAACTCGATAACTAACCTAACAGTTAACAGTCCTAAAGGGTTGTGTAACTCGATAACTCAGGTATCAATTAACAGCCCTAATGGGTAGTGGAACTCGATAGCTAACCTAACAGTTAACAGTCCTAAAGGATTGTGTAACTCGATAACTCAAGTATCAGTTAACAGCCCTAATGGGTAGTGTAACTTGATAACTCACGTAACAGTTAACAGCCCTAATGGGTTGTGTAACTTGATAACTCACGTAACAGTTAACAGTCCTAATGGGTTGTATAACCTGACCACTCGCATATCAGTAACAGTCTTAAAGGGTTGTATAACCTGACCACTTACTTACCAGTTAATAGTCTTAAAGGGTTGTATAACCTGCCCACTCACAAACCGGTTAACAGATCTGTTAATCATGCCCTTTATATTAACATAAACAAAAAAAAGTTGCCTTACCACTTAGGAATGTTCGTATTTCTTCTTCAGTCACTCGGAAGGGCAATCCCTCCAATTTTATGTATGCTACCTACAAATTAGGAAAGCAGATTAGAAAATAAGCATCACCTCATTCTTGGGTCAATATACTAAGAAGTTTTACATTCATACATGTAAATTTGGTTCTTTCTGCAAGGGCTGCGTAGGGCAGTATTCAAAAAGGAAAAGGAAATTTGAATATTTCTTTTCAAAAATTACTAATATCAACATTTGGAAAATTGCTAAAATTAATCTGTTCACTTTTGATGAATTGTGCAATTTCCATTCTGATTAGCATTTTGTCAGGTAAATCATTAAAAGTGTTCAAAGTTGTAAATCTATACATATCATGACACTAATAAGCCTATGGCTGGAGGGCCTGCAGTCAACACTATCTAGGTAAGTTTTACACATTATGAATGTGAAACAACAATTTTCAAAGCCATAAAAGTAATAACTGAGAGATGTGGTGATTTGGATAGCGCAATATCAGATGAAAGTGGGCTAAAATTCTAACTTCTGATTTTCCAAACTTCAAAAATGACTTACCCCATCCTCTTCACCTGTTCTAAAATCTTTGATACTGCTTTCAAGTTGTCTAAAACATAGTTAAACATTCAAATATTATTATACAACAGAAACACAAAATACATTAATATCAATAAGCTGTCTTCATGGTGGCTTTTCCCTTTCATCAATGTCAGCTGAATAATCAGATAGAGGCCTGACCTTATAGGCTCTCGAATCAATAGAACTGCTTAGCATCACACTTTCCTGACTTGCTCGGGGCCTGGTCTAGGGCAGAGAGGCAATTTGAGTGAGGCCTAACAATTGAATAAACAGGAAAAACTGATACACAATCTTCACATGAATGAATGAGCATAAAATATTATAAATTCAACATCATGTAGATTTATTTTGACAGCTGTAATCAATTGAAAGACCCAAACAGGGCAGAATTTACATGCAACATAAATGTATGACTAGTATTATAAAAGTTCCAATAGTGTAATCTACTTTTAGTTTAACTTCATACAGTTCTTAGAAACAGAAGTAAAAGTGAAAGTAGAAATGTCTTTAGAACTTTGAGTGACTACTGTAAAGTGACATCTGTCTAGTTGACAGAAATTTTCAGAACATTACACAGAAGTTAACACGTTTGCTAGTTTTATCATCCCATGAGTCATTTTGAGGTGGTGTCTCCTTGTAGTAAGTGCTGGCCACCTCACTGAACAACATACAGGAGATCCATCAAAGGCATCCATGGCAAATGGGGGAAGGTATCTTGCCTAAAGACACAACCACAACAGCACATATTCGTCAGTTTCTTAAATTCCAGAGAAACACAAGCCGCTACGTGTACAGAGCGTCCAACATCATAACACCCTTCTGTGCTTCATCTGAGATATCATAGCCCCCTGACTTGGCTGAAGTCATTGTAAGAGCAGGAGTAATTCCTATGGTCAAGTGGACTCAACTTGGCTCATTTTCCATGTAATACTGACTTTAAAAGTGGCCATATAAGGTAAGAATTTGACCAATGGGCCACTATTCTTATTTACATATTGGATCTTATATGAATTTCCACTTCTGGTGAGATTCTAAGATTTATTAAAACTATATTTTCATATTTTAAATGGAAAAAGATTTAATTTTGGTTTTATCACATCATAAATTATTTTTGCATATTCTCCCTCCCGACTCCCTTATCCATTCATGAACTTGGTCTAGATCTTCTCTCGACGACCTAGCCAGGACAGACTCTTCATACCAAGTACTTTAAATCATCCAATTATAAAAAGTTAAGTATGTCACCCCAGTGTAATGAACAAACCAAATCGGTGAGAACCCAGTCAGGTGTTTTGGATATCAGAAGTGACTTTAAAGGAAATGTTGATGAACAGACCACAGGTGCTGCATTATAGCAGAAGTTCTTCAGACTTTTGGACCAGCCGAGTGAAAAAATTTAGATTCATTTTGAGAACATCTGTAACATACCTCTTCATAATCTCCGTACACTGATTGACTGAAAAAAAGAATGAGAAAAAAGCAACTGTTATTCAAATTCGACTTTGTTTTGTAAAATGTATTCATATCTTTTATAGTTTTCAGAACAAACAAATGCTTTGGACTATATCATTAACAGAAGTGTTTAGAGAGTTCTGGCCACAATGTTTGTTTTCATATCAGTACATACTATAACTTCAGTATGTATATTCAATGCCTACATCCATCTTTGTATCACCTTAACAAGAATTTCAAATAATCCTGCCTACCTTCAAAAATACTCACATACAAACTATTGTATTACATAACTTCCTCTTCACTTTATGACAGATCAGCTGCTCTGATTGATTTTGATTTTCATTATATTCTTTTACATCACTGACTAAATAACATTACCACCTAGATCGCACTACTCAACTATATACCAATACCCATATTTTCAGTTGAAAGTACTTGTAATTTAATGACATGACTTGTCACATGATGCATGTGGCATCGAAGCGTTACTTCGACTGACTGTTGCTAATATGTAAACAGTAGTGTAGAAGGCAAACACTTTTCACAAACCTGTTTTTCATGATACTCTTGATTGAAAGTGAAATATTGTACGTCAGCGTAACACTTACACTGTTATACAAAAACTTGCACTGACATTAATTCAAAGTACTTAAAGTATTGAAAACGAAGCTTTTTTATAACGTACAATCACATGTTTACTTAGAAATTTCATTAAGAGCAGTACATATAATCAATAAAGCTCATGCTCTTTTACATAATGAGTAAAATCCCCACCCTGCCGTTGCTGAGGTGTGAGCACCAGGGGCTGCATGCTGAAGTGCTTGACTATCAGGTCAAGTAAGAAAACATTTCCATATCGCTCCTAAATGACTTTTGTTTGACTTTATATATCTTAGAACTAGGGATCATGAAATTCATATTTTGGTCAAACACCTTAAGATGCTTCCATCAATGAAGAGCATTCAATTCTACAATATCTGGGTGTTGAGAAGATTTTTTAAATTTGAGTCAATTTGACAGTGTTTGGCACAGCCTGTCAGGCCCCTGGGGCTGTGAACCACATAACTATTTTGGTTCATCTTTGGCCCAAGAAGGTTTCTACAAAATTTCATTAAAATCAAATCAGTTCATGGGTTCTTGAGAAGAAGATTTTGAGATTTTGTCTCAGGTGGCCACAATAGTACAGGAGAAACAGTCAGGTATTTTCCTATTCTTATTTATACCTGTTACATAAATTTTATAATCCCTTTTCTACCCAATATAGCTGTCTATTGTCTCCTGGGTATCCACTCAAAAAATTCAGATGTGTAGTTACTTACCCAGGACATATCTTGAACCAATAAAACATCTGTCTTTCTCTAAAGCTGCTGCAACATCACTGCATGATATTTTAACCACTAAATTCCCTGAGAAGCGGCCATTTTCATTTTGGTATATTATATCATGTACATCTATGCCTGAAAATAAAATAAAAGAACAAGCTTAGAGCAAGGGCCTTAACAGTCACCTGAGATCTATAATATATACTCAACCAAAAAAAAAAGAAACCCATAAAGGTCCCCCCTGAAGTACTACGTCATGAATGATCTCCCTTCACGACAATCTACCCTAAAATTGTGAGCTGACTTTATGTCAGGCCACCTCGGACACCATGGTAAGTGCGTCTTGACTGGATGCACAGACATGGTCCAAATAGGCTTCAGATACATCAGTGGAGGCGTGTGACGTTCAATGACGAGTCTAGATTCTGTCTGCATTGGTCAGATGGAAGAAAAAAGGGTATATCAAAGATGTGATGAGTGTTTCGCTGATGCATGTTTGGGGAGGCATCTCCCATGGAGTACAGTCCTTCTTAATGGTCCTGGATCCAAATCTCAATGTCGTTTGATACAGAGACCAGATCCTCCAACCACATGTCCTTCCACATTCTGATGTCCTAACCTAATTTTCCAGAATGACAATGCTCAATTGCATGTTGCCAGAGTATGACATGATTTTCTCACCGCAAACAATGTTCAGTCTCTTGAATAGACCCCATATAGCCCTGACATGTCAACTATTGAGAATCTGTGGGATGAGATGGACAGATATATTAGGAAACGTCAAAACCTTCCAACTAACCAAGCCCAGTTGATAGCAGCATTAACACAAGAATGGAACAACATTCCCTTAAGGCAAATTAATGTTCGCATGAATTCAATGCACAGGAGAATCTGTGCAAGGATTCGTGCAAGAGGTGCCCACACCAGGTACTGAAGTGTCTTTTTTTCTTGGGTATCCCACTTAGAATAACTACTTACGACACGACTGACGTCACACAGACTTTTCTGCTACAGTATTGTATAGAGCAGACTTGTCCCTTCACAATGATATAAAATTTTGCTCAAATTTCCCAAAATATCAAAGGTTATTAATTGCATAATTTAACTGTGCATTTCTTTTTTGGTTGAGAATACATTTGTTGACTGGGTTGTGTTGAACCAGAGGACTAAACTGTTGTCTGAGGACATTGATATCAAAGAAAATGAATCATTATAGATTAATATGAATGATAACGGCGGAAATTTTCAACCAAGGACCTGGAAGTACCAAACAGTAAGTGGCTGTGATGTATGTTGTCAACACCAAGATGTTGATCAGTAAATTGTTTATGGGCATCTGGAATTTCAGACTTCTGGTTAAGCTTCATCAGATGATTCAACTAAATTATTTTACCATATCTGCATCTTGAGAAGATCTTGTCCAATTTCGCCCCACCCTTCAGGACCCTAAGAGTCAATATGTTATATACCATCAAAGTACCATAACATACTACCAAGAAATCTTTTTTTTTCCCAAAGTTTTAATTATTTCCAACGGCAAATGAACAAATTATGCTCAAACGTATCATTTTCCCCAGATAAACTAGGGTAAAATTTACATCTATCCCAATGACAAAGAACTAGGGAAACATGAGAGTTACAATTTTGGATAAGCACCTTCAGATCCTTACATCTATGAAGAGAATCTGTTTTTAATGTATCTTGTTCTGGAGAAGAAGTTTATTGAATTTTAAAACAATAAAATTCTTTTCAGTCCTGCCAGTCGCTGTTTAAGTGTGTACAAAAGTGTGTATATATCTAAAGGTGCCTTTGTATTTATTCTTTCTACATAAATTGAAATGAAAGACTGTAAGGTCAAACATGGTATAATTTTTACTAATCTATTGCATGTTTACTAATCTATGGCATGTTTGGGATTTCACTTTTTTCGGCTAAAATCTTCAGGTTAATCTAGGCTATAACATCAATTAAGGAGTTACAGGCCATGAATTTTGAACACTACATATCATCTTAGTATGATCAATGTATACACCAAGTTTCAGTAACCTACTGTATATACAAGAAAAGTTATGCTCCTGACACAAAATTGAAACAAAGGGTAATAGCTTTGTAACTGAGGAGTCAAGGGCCCTGAATTTGGTACACTGCACACTGCCTTAGCTTGACCAATATATACACCGAGTTTCATAATTCTTGCTTAACTGTTGGCACAGTTATGCTCCAGACACAAAAGGACAGACGAAAAGACGGACAGACAAAGCAGCAACTATATGCTCTTCTTAAATTTTTGGGGAGAAAGTACAAATCTCATTATGAAAAAGGGAAATAACTAATGCTGCCTTACCGCTGAGGAATTCTTTCACATCATTGTTATTTGCTGAGAAGGGCACACCTCTCATTTGTATGTATTCATGCTGAAAATTTAAAAAGCAATGTTACAATTAAACCAGGACCTATCCTATTCACGACAACAAAATCTCCTACCACTGTGTAATAAAGATATATATAACACCAAAGTAATATGACAAATTATAACTTCACAGACATGAAATTCAAAATGATACCAGTTTCACTACCTTAATCATATAGTTACCATTGATCATAAACACTAAACTGTCAGCAACTGATCAGCATTTCACTTCATTATATATTCATTTTTGTTATCCACTTATCATGTCTCTCACACAATATCTAAATGTGTAGATTTTCCCGCACAAAAAATAAATATTCTGTAGTCATATGTCTTTTGGGCCTCAATTTTCATGAGTGTTCCAAAAAGAACTATTTCATAGACACCTGATTTCAGGGGAAAAAACCTCAATTGTGATTGATAGACATTATAATTTGTAGATGAAGAGTACCCATGAAATCATTAAAAATAAACCCTCCACAAAAATTGATGATTTTACGGCATCATTTTATCATTGATTTCTTCCTACAGAAGCCCTTTAATTCATTGATTATATTATATTTCTGAATATTGTTTCTCATCTTCCATGTAATTGACTTATACAAGTTCTTATGTATCCAACTTTACCTTTCCCTCTACTTGACTTTCTGTTGAATAATTTGCTGCAGGGAGGATCCTTGGTAATGAGACATAGTGTTGAAGGTCAAAGGTTGTTCTGAAAAATTGTATAACAGTGATAGATTATTATGTCTGTTAAGTTACTTTAATTAACTTAGAGAGTGAAAATGGTGGTTATACACGCAGTGGTTGATCAAGTTCCACAATCACACCCTACTCCTGCATGTCTTTTCTTGGGGTTCTATGGAACTGAATATGGGCCCCATTCCCAATTGGATTTATTTTGTAACATGAATATATTCCTGACATATATACAGTGTACTCCTAAAAATTCCTTCTCAATTGATCAATTTTCTTCCTAAATGAGATAAATGTGCAATTCCCAAGACGAGTATAAAAAAGCACCCTGTCCTACCATTGATTTCAACGTAATCCTTGAGTTAGAATATACAGGTTAATCAATTCTCTAAAAATTCATTTCCTTACATGTGTACTGTAATAGGCAGGAGTCATGAAAAATACTCTGCATCTGCTGGGGTTTGAATAAGCCATCCTTTGGTCTCTAGCTGGACACTCTATCTATTGACTAAAGGGAAATTAAGTCTCTCTAGCCACAGCAAGTAAGTCCCTAACTTCTGCCCTTTTACACTTGTATGCATCATATATATGACTTGATTAGTAAATTTTCCAGTAACAGTCCATTGGTTGGTTGCTTTCTTAGCTGGGTTTGTCACTCCATGAACAGCCAATTAAGGTCATTTTGAGTGAGATCTCAATGTAGTAAGTGGTAGCTATTCACTGAACAACATACTGGAAGACCTTCACATGCCCTTCAGAACATTTAGGACAAGGTCAAATGTCTTGCCCAAGGACACAGCCACAGCAGCACAGACATTGAGACTGGTCCGTCTCTCAGTATTCTGAGAAACAAAACCTGCCACATGCAGAATATTGTGAATAATACCATAATACCAAGCCATAAGCAATATGGTTATTTTCAAAAAAGAACTAAAAGTGTTGCTCCTCCTATACAAGTTTATTCTGATATGACAAGAGTTGAAAAGGGCATTCACAATTCTTCCATGAGTTGGGAACACCCTTAGATGTGAAATGGCACTGGACAGTAATGGACAAAAGTATCATTCAGTGAACAACACACAACTATATTTCTATTATGTGTCATGACATCTTGATGTTTCTTCACTAAATTATTCTCATCAGTTTACTTAGTTATGTACCTCCATACATTATAAAACATAAAAAAACAAAACAAGGGTGGTGAAATTCAGAGTAGGACAGGGGTGGGGGTTTCACTTCACCATGGCCATGCTAAAGTGAAGCATATCACTACTTTGTTACTATATAAGTTTATTCATTCATATAAATATGTACATAACAAAGAAGATGTCTAGGTGTGAAAATTCAGGGTGGGGGTCATGGTAGAGTGACCCCACCTCTCTGTCCCACCCAAACTTTCCCCATCCCAGATATATGTATTATTATGTAGGCATTTAAATGAATGAATTGGTGTAATTAGAAAAAAAGGTTTTTGTTTGATTATGTATGGAGGAAAATAAGCTAAGTGATCAAAAATTGATAAATTGGCTTCATTTTATCATGGAAGGGTGTTCATTTCACCATCATAGTAAAGTGAACCTACTTTACTTCACTATCATGGTATTTTGACCATTGTTCAGTTCACAATGCTTCACATCACCATGCTATATCTGTAGGTAATTTTGTAATGAAAAGTGTAACAAAGTATAGAGGACCAGAAATTATTGATGCATTATATTTACAAGTGAAATGCATGTTTGAATATGTGACAATTGTTTTAAAATACTTTTCTGGTAATATTGAGTGAATACAAACACAGCAGTTTGCCTTGCTTTTAAACAAAACTGTCATTTTCCTTATTCAAATTATGGTTTTGGAAATTTAATACTTTTCATCAAGTGCCTTTCAAATGTGTTTTGTTTTAATTTTGTTTAAAGTGTCAGAGTACAACCTGCTGTCATGCAATGATATTATTTCAATTTCACCGGATGACCCACGGAAAAGCAAAGGTATCTGTCTATTCTCAATAATCTTACTTAAAAAATCTCCCGGTTTTTAGTAAGAAACAGACCAGATGATTTAAGAGTTATTTTTCCGAAATTTAAGACTCTGTCCAATATCGCTTTCACTAATATTTTTTTATGTCTAAAATGAAATGATGTGATTGTAGAGTGGGCTTTAGTATCGTAACCCTACCCTTATGTTTTGAGGTTAGAAATGTTCAAGTTATCTCCCTTTAGCACGCTTAAATATTATCAAATTACGTTAAAATCTTGGGTAATCTAGATCCTTAGTAATGTTACACATGTTTTGTTAAGCATTTGAAAAACCAAAATGCACGAAAACATAACAGAAAAAATCGATATTTTTTCCTTGTCTGAAACAGGTAAACTCCTTACTTCTTCTATCTGCGTGTTTATAACTGCAGTTCAATGTCATATTATGAACGCATCTAAAATTCATACTACCTGGTAGTGGTCGATTCGAGCGCCCTCGCTGGCTTTAAAAGGAGTCTGCAACTTGGTATTAAACCCGAAACCCGCCGAATTACTCTACAAACACTCATTTTTTTCTTTTAAAACACTTCACGACAGACCTGACAAGTAACCCACGTGTTGCCCTTCACCTTGCTCGCATCTTAGTCAAAGAGAAGCTTGCAACTGGCGTCGCGAATGCGGTTGAAACGCTTGAACCAGTGGCGCAATCTCTCCCAGAGTGCATTGTGGTACCGCTTTCGTTTATCCTGTCGCAAAGACATGCAGCCTGTGGCAACCTTTAAACCGTTTCCTATTCTTTTTTTCTTTTTTTTTCTTGACAGAGTACCGTAGTAGTATGTCATATAAACTGGGGTTGATAAAAGACATCGCTAATGAGAAATGAAAAATTCAATTCAGTTTTATAACCAAAAAAATGATGTAATTACTGTTAAATTTGTTGGAATACAACTTTTTCAATTAACAGCATAAATTATATAAAAGAAGTTATGTATCAATCCAATTATACGCTGAAAAGAAATATTACCTCTACAGATCAAATAAGTGTATGTGTCAGTTTCATTGGTCCTCGTGTCTAGGTTTTTCAGTTTTAAGAACGATCAAAAAATGTCTACAAAAGAATACATATGTATCTTAGATTTGGACACTTTATTTAACACAATTTCATGGCCAGTGTTTCTTTGGTGCTTTCTTATCCATATCTGGTTTTGAGACTTCGTTCTGTTGTTAGGAGAGGTTTCTTTCCCAAGAAAAGTCGACGGCGGTACAAATAAATGGCTGTAGACTGTACTGAAGTTTATTTCGTGACAATTACGTCGAAATCTCAGAAGCAATATTCGTAGGACAAAATCATGAAATAATTGTGTTTCTGGTTGACAAAAGTTTGATGGTAAGACCTTCCAACCTATTGTCGAAATTATACTGCTTATCGAAACAGGTCAGAAAAGCCTTGCTAGTCCTTCAGTTTCACGTTCTGATATATTGATTACGTATTGTCTGAAAATGACACGATATTTTTTGGCCACCTCCGTCGTATATGCCCACCATCAGTTTCTTATCTCGACCTTTTAATAAAACGATACCAACATGGACAGCTTTCAATCAAGCTGAATGATAAGTGTGATGATTTTAATTTCCCTTTCGTAATTTTCCCTTTTTGGATAGCAAAATTCATGGATCCCAACTTATGATGATTACATATCGCAGTTGATTCGATATTCAAGGACCTGCTTTCTGTATCTCGATTGTCGTGCAAGATGTCGATAACTAACAAGACAACACAACACAAGGTTTGAGAGATGCAGGTTTATAAAAACTACAGGTTTTACTGGCGTCATAGTGGTCTCATTGAGAAATATCCTATTACTTTGTGGAATATGAAGATGGACGTGTTTGACGCTTATTAGTTGGCCTGGTGGTCTCGTTGTTGTAGACATTACTTAAATTGACCAAGATTTACATGGCGATTGTCCTCAATGAAGTTTAAAACGCTTACCCTTCTGGAACACCAGGTCCAGTTCTCCTTGTACGTTTTCAGCAGTCTCCATATAATTTTTTCTTTTGTTAATATTATGCCATAGTTTGATCGACTTTGAGTTTGGATTATGAGTATGTTCGCATGTTGATATTTTCTTGTTGTTTTTGTAAATTAAGAGAGCATTAATTCTTACAGTTAGGATCCGAAATTAAGTTGAATAAATAAAGGTAAAACTGAAGACGAAATTGAAAATCATTACCTCTGAATTGATACAATACTTTATTTTTTTACTACATATTGTATTTGGGGAGTTGGTGAATCAATCTGATTAAAATACAGATCTTAATTTACCACTCCAGTACTTTCTCTTAATTAGTGGTAAACTAAGTTCTGTATTTCAATCAGATTGGAAATGCATCTGTTTTCCATGCTTGAATGCATAGTAAGCAACAATTTTTCAAGTCTTCAAAAAATGTTTCCAATTATATTAATCACAGAATGCAAACATAGGAAATAGAATGAAGGACATTATGATCTGGTTTTGATTGGGAAATAAATATATACTATTGCTTTATTACAATAACAGTTTGAAAATAATAGTTTAAATGTCAGGATTTCATGTTTTCTGGATTCAGATCGGGAGAATTGATATCTCATTATTTATTTGTTTATTTCATTGTCCATCGTCACGCGTCGTCGTCCTTACGAAAGTTTTCCGGACTTCTTTCGATAATGCTTTGAGTTATCAAAATGAAATTTGACATATCGCTTTTCGTTGCAAGGGTACAGATTAAGTTTGATTCCCGGCTGTCTGTGACCCTTCTTTGGATGAGTTATGCCCCTTCGAACTTAGAAAATTCTCTGGGAATATTGTTTTCTTGACTTTGTTTGGTTATGCTTTGAGTTATAGAAATGACATTTGCTATATGCTGTCTGTGACCCTTCTTGGCTGAGTTATGTCACTTTGAACTTAGAAAATTCTCTGGGAATATTGTTTTCAAGATATTTCCCAATTATGCTTTGAGTTCAATTCCCAGCTCTCCGTGACTCTTCCTGACCCATTGAACTCAAATTCTTTAGGAATATTGTTTTCTGGAATTTTCTTGGTTATGCTTCGAGTTATGAAAATACAATTTTGTATATGAGTTCTTGGTCAAAAGTTACGCACCGAGTTTGCTTCTTGGCAGTCTGTAACCCTTCTTGGCAGTGATATGTCTCTTTGAACTTGGAAAATTTCTCAGGAATATTTCTTTGCGCAGTTTTCCCTTTATGCTTCAAGTTATAGAAATGAAATTTGGTATTACAACTTTATGGTTGATCTTTGCACATCCATTTCAATTTCTGGGTGACCGTGACACGTTATGCATGCGACACATAAGTTCCGAGGAACTCTTGTTGCAAGATAAGAATCACTTGTCACTCACATTTCACATATTTCTGTGTCAATTGGCAGCAAACAAATTGCTGTATGATCTACATTCTCATTCTAGGATTTGGATCCCGGAATTAAAAATATGATGGCAATCTCCAACTAAAAAAAAACATGTCAAATTCCTGAATGGTATTTTGATTAAGAAAAAATGATTGAAGAGTTACTATCCCTCTTTTGGTCTTTGTTTTTTTTTTTTTTTATCTAATTTTGTTTTTCCCTTGTTTCAACCTTTAAATTATTATGAGAGAATTGGTGCTTTCCCACAGCATTTCATATCATTATTCATATCCATATTTGATATTTGTGTTATACTGCCTGTGTTTCACTATAACATGTTGATATGGGTGTATTGTTTTGCCTTGCTACACATAATCATACTTTTGTATCTTTTTGGTGTAGACCATTTAACCATTTTAACACATGATGTCCTTAACCATTGAACTGTTTTCAGTTGGCATTCATAGGCATATGTATGAAAACAGGATAAGATTATGACAATGTCATATAACTATTTCTAAATCATTACATGGATGGTATTTTCCAGTATAATAGTGGCTTAGTAGCATTCTTTGTGGTCAGTGATTTCGACTCCAAGTCTGAAGACTTCTCTGTTGGTATATTTTCATCATCAGTCTCTGTTTAGGAATTGTAATCCTGTAGTAAATGTAATGTGTGAATCAGATCTAGTCTATTTCTACCTCCAGAGTAAGATCTCCCTTACTTCTTAAGAAATAATGATAAATCCAAGATGGCTGTTTGTTTCTCACTCTAGCCTGGCCTATATGTGCTTTCAATTACTCTGCAAAATTTCTTTTGAAAATAATGATTTTTTTTGGTCCTGAAGTTTTTGATTTGTTTTATTGTTAATGTTTAGAAACAAAAAAAAAGTTGTGTCTATGTATGATCATGGCAAACTTTGATGACTATATCTTAGTCCTTTACAAACACTCAGAGCATATTATCCAGCAATCTTGAAAAACAATATTCAAGATGATACGGTTTAGTACATTGCAACACCAAATAGCCTCTACAGGTGTCAGCTGTGGGCCCAAGGATTGGGACTACAACAGTAAGCTAGCTGTTGGCAAAACCAGTCAACATATTCAGAGAAGGATCATCTAAATCTAGGGTAATTTCTTAGTATTACTTCTAGAAGTGAAGAAAGTTTATAATTTTTTTGACACCAGAAAGATATTTTTAATTATGATTTATATGAAACGTATCATCATCCAACCTGATATTGTCAGATATAATGATCATGGGGGTGTCCATCCATCCACCATCTTCTTTTATTGGTCATTTGTATGTTTAGTTCATTGAATTGGATTTCAAATTGTCCAAGTTTTTGAAAATCCAACATCAGACATGTATATACATTTATTTGGAATTCTTTTTTCTCTCCTGTACTGCGGAATGAGATGTTCATCCAAGGTGTAATGATTGGTTGTGCTAGTCTTGGGAAACGTTTAAATAAAATCTGTTCTTGTTAAGGAACAAAATCAGATGCAGATAGAAAACAACAAAAAATCTCTTTCATTATTTTGTTTTATTACAAATATATTTCATATTCTCCTTTCTCAGCAGAATATCATTGCAAGGAAATATTAATTTATTAAATTTGTTCATGAATATGACAAAAAGAATTAAACATTTAATGATATGCTGAACTTTTTCAAAGTTCTACATCTCAATTTGAAAAAGAAGTGAGACATTTTGACACAATGTAACATCAAATATCAGACACATACATACAGAAACATTTCAAGTTAATATACAGGAATGAATGACCACTATTTACCTCTAACCTAAGTTTTGTTACAACCTTAAAAAAATTCCTAATTTTGATTAACATGGATGATCCTAATGTGTCTAGCTGTACTCTATAATACCCAGTGAAATATTCACCTAGAATTTCCTTTCACCCTTACATAAAATTATTTATATTTGTCTAGTGTTGAATTCATCCAAACATTCCAAAAAGATACATAATATCAGTTACAACAAATAACTTCTGACTATTTTTTTTTGCTTCATCGGCCAAAGCACATAAATAGTGAAATTTCCCACACATAGTAATTATCTCTATTTTTTAAATAAAAAATTGAACAAGAAAGTTAATCATAGCACTACACGGTATGTACTTGCATATAATGTGTTTTTATGTTTGAATTAAAATACTTTAAAATGAAGCACCACTGTAATAGTGATAATTCAAATATCCAAAATTTTGCTCACTTTAACAGGTGTATGTAAAATAAAGTGTGAATGAAATTCCCTAACAATATCTCAATCCTTAATGTCAGTTTCCTAACTTTATAATCCCTTCAAAAAGTTCTTTACTTCATTATTTCAAGACAGAAACAATTACAAATATTTAAGTCAAATTGATTTTTCTTATATGAAAACTATTGCTTTCATGTGTGTAATGTGCAAGAATATTAGAACATTACATGCATATTTTGTTTTTAAATCAAGAAAGTATCACATTGTCAAATTTTACGTAAATGAGTTTTTGACAAAGTGATGTTATTACCAAGGAATCCATGTAATTCTTAATGATCAAGTTTTGATGAGAACAAATCATGTGATGTAGTAAATATCAGTTTTATACAGATCTAACACAATTAAGTTCACATCTGCATCACCTGTTCATCTGGACTGCTTTTTGGAGATTTACAAGTTAAAATCATTTTAACTGAAATTTGAATTTGCAAAAAAGGAAATGAAATCATTTCAATGGTTTTGTGAATAAAATGTTGATTTTATTTTGTTCTGATGGCAAATTCAAGATACAACAAAAAAATAGTAAAGCTAAAAAATGATCTATTTGTGTCAACAATATAATATCCACGGATTTCCATCTCAACATGCATGTTAAACATATCCTTCCATTCCTAAAACAACATTTAACAACACTTTAATGAAATCAAATCAGCATCTATCATCCTGTAAAATCTACACCACTCTAACATGAATACGCAATCTCACATCATTATAAAGATACCTACCCAATCACTTCAATGGTAAACTGAACTAATAAAATATTACGATATTTCTTTCATATGAGCTTACGCAAATGATTCATGTTTTTTAACGCTGAACAAATTCTCTGTCATTATACATTAAATTATAAATCTAATAACAACATATTTGGAAATGAATTATATCTTGCATTCACACTGTATTGCGTTAGTAACATTCATGTTTATCAACAAATACACTTAAAACATATTTTTAAAAAGTAACATAAAAGAAAAAAGTTGGTATAGAGTACATTATAATTATTTGGAAGATATCTTTGAATCACAAACATGGACATAAGCTAGTAAAAAACGGTAAGAAAATCTGAGTTAATTTTAAGGACACAGTACTTAACATACAAGGGCATGCCATGACATGCATCAACTAATTAAAATATTGCATCTACAGATTAAAATCCCTGTTGTAGATCCTAAAGTAAAATTTTAAAAATGTATCAAGTTGATCAATTTTGGTATTAATTTTTTAAAGGAATTCAGTTGAAGAAAAATAAATTGCTCCCATAGAGTTCCTATGATGAAAGAATGAACTTAATTAATTCTACGAATGAACTAATGACATAGCTGAAGGAGATGGCACTACATGTTTTGGAATGACACTAAATGACCTTGACCAGCCTGTCATGCAGAAGAAGTTCTTGGTGAATGTCACTGAATCAGTTTACATGGAGCATCAAATATAGATTCAATTAAAAAAAAAAATTAATGATTGTTCAAACATACATTTATTACACAACAGTAAAGTGATTAGCTGGTAGCTTATAGAAAAGACAAGAAAAATTAACTGATTTTCTAATACATAGAAAAGTTTCCACTTCGTGTCATATTGTTTTAAATCACATTCCTGTTAATGTCATGTTTTTCTATTTGTTAGATACAATATTTGGCTAGTTTAATATCTTGTCATTTGGTATGGAGGGCTAAATGTTCAGGCAATAAAAACAATGGGGAATAGACCATTGTCTAGAGTATTATGAGATTGCCTGTAAACTGGAAATGTAAAACAACTGGGATATCTTCACTATTTTCAATGCATACAGAGCGATAAGTTTATAGTGCAACTAGGAGGTCATTTAAACATAATTACAAACATTCAACTTCTGCGTCACTTTGATAGCAACCATTTGACACTGGGTATTATTTAAACTTTGTGGACGACCCACAAGATTCAAATATGTGTAATACAAATGTTAAAGTAAAAATATTTGAACATACGAATGCATTAAAATCATATCACAGCTATACTTTTTTGCTAATGCATTTTTGAATTACAAAACTAGAGATATTTCATACCTCAATAAAATGTTAACAATAAAAATAGGTCCCTGAATGAATATATTGTCCGATTTTCAGGGTTGCTCTGACCAATTTTTATGGAAGACGATACCTCCTGTATCATCAGTCGCATGACGTTGCGCTCATGTCATATGACTTAAAACTTTGAGGTACACTAATGATTTTATAAAATGTTGTGAAGCTTCAACACTGACCCATTCACTAGATCCGTAGCTCCTGTTCTTGCTCATGAGGAGGGGAGATAACCAACTGATGGCCCATAGGGACTCCCATTTGCTGTCTATTAGGTATGCCATGTCCGCTATGATTAGGTGTGCCTGCGACTGGCGCTCCTGTTGCCAATGGTAACAAAGATGGCGTGAATGACGGTGTGAGAGGAGGGTTGAATCCCCCCTCATTTGTGATGGGTGAACGTGCATTGCTAGGTAACGAGACATTGTTTTTGATATTGTTGCTCTTGGCTAAAGTACGAGGAGGTTTGTATGAGCTACTGCCTCCACTACTTTGACTAGACCTTCGAGTGGCAGACTGTGACAATGCCTGCGGGGGAGCGTTTGTAATCATTGGAGGAGGAATCATTTTCACCTGAGGTTTTAGTGTTGTGCTGACACTGTTAGTCTGTGGCACAGTCTGTATTGGTCGTTTCTTTGGCTGGATTGTGTCATCCTTAAGCCGAGCAATCTCAGAGAACACATGAGCGAGGGGTTGATACTGTGGGCCCCAATCCAGTAAGTAGTCCCAGTTGTACGAGCCACTGTATTCCTCCTCACTGTTTATCACACTTGACATGGAGCCCGGCTGAGCGTAGTGCTCGGGCTCATGGAAGCCGAGGTCTCTCGGTTGAGTGTGGTGAGAACTACTGATAACACTGATACTAGGCTCATTGTCCACAGGCCCAAGCCTATTATAGTCTATATCCAGTGGATCGTCCACTGTGTCTAATCCACCACCCTCCTCCGAAAATGGCGGTAATGACTCCTCAGAAAAGGAAGTATTTTTATTTTTCGTTGGTATTTGTGAAGAGTCTATACCAAGTCTAGCTAAATAGTCTTTAGAATTTTGAACTGATGGTTCTGAAGTATTATCATCGTCCTGTATACCTGAATCTGGCATGTTTTTACTTCGGAAGCCACTCGACTGATTCAAATCAGACTGCAGAGAATTTATCATGCAAATCTCCGCATCATCTTCTGCTTCCACTGATCCGCGTCCACTAGACACTGAATGATGAGAGTGCTCTGAAACTTCTGAGGTAATATTATTAGAATTAGACCGACTATAAGTTGGTGCCTCATCATAAGTTATTCCACCCGACTGATCTGGATTTTGTGGGAAATCAAATCCATTGAAATCAGTAGCATCATAAACTTGTGCTACAGGCTTTTTACTTCTCTGCTTATACCGGACAAATATTAACACAATGACAATGATCAGAATGACCAACACAACTACAAACACTATAACTATAATCATAGTGGTTCCTCCAAAGCCTTCTGGATTTTTAGTTACTGGAGGTATGATCTGACACCCTGAACAGGATTCATCAACAGCGATTGTAACAACCGTACTTTTCGAACGCGAGTTTGCAACAGCTGATTTCACTTCTATTATCAGTGTTTTATCAGCGTCAGACAATGACCTCTTGTGACGGGAGTGGTCTGCATCTCTGCGACGACGATTTCCTGGATTTGAATTAAATCCCAATTTGACATAAATCATACCAGTGGTAATATTGACATCAAAATAGTCGTTGTGACGATTCAAAAAGTAGTACGGAATTTTTGCTGAGCCTTGGTCAGCATCAGTGGTTAACACCTGTCCAACTTCAGCTCCAACTTCTGCATTTCCTGCCACAGAAAACTCATATTCAGGTTTGGAAAACTGTGGTGGATATTCATCAATGTCACCAATGACAACTCTTGCCCCTACAGATGCATTTCTTCCATCACTGACCGTAACAATAAAAGAAAAACTACCAGGAATGTCATTAATATTAGTTGGCAGACTTTCTACATTAAAGACAATTTTCGGGTACACCCAGCCAGTAATGGGATCAATCCTAAAGAACCTGTCATCACTGATGGCGTAGGACAGCTCGCCATATCGACCAGCATCACCGTCAAATGCCACTGCCTGAAAGACTTGTGTCTTCACTGACTGTTCCTCATTAAACACTGTGTAATAAAATGGGACTGGGAACTCGGGAAGGTGATCATTTACATCAGTTACATCAATGACAACCACCGCAATTCCAGACAATCTTGGCACATTTACAGGGCAATCTAAACAATCTGTTGCCTGGACAACAAGGCGATGACTCGTGTGAAGTTCATAATCCAAACTTTTAGAAGCAGCAATTTTCAGATCTCCTGTTGAGCTGTTGATTTCAAATATATTGGCATCATTTCCAGAGATAATGCTGTAGTGTAGCTTAGCATGGTTGCCAAGGTCACTGTCCATTGCCAGCATCTTCAGGAAGCTGGTGCTTGGTGGGTAGGTTTCAAGTAATGGAGGCACAGTGTAATTGGTCTGTCCAAATCGAGGCTCCATATCATTTACATCCTCAATTGTCACATGTAGCATGATTGATCCTCTCATTATTGGGGTCACATTGTCCTCTGCAACGATGTCAAGGTCGTAATCTGCTATCTCCTCTCTGTTAAGCTTTCCATTGACAAAGATTTCACCAGATGTGTGGTTTATGTAGAATGCGTTGTTGTTGTTGCCCGAGCGTATAGAGTAATGGATTGTCTGGTAGACATCAGCATCTGTAGCGACAAGCTGAGCAACAGATGAGCCAACTTGGGTATTCTCCACCACGCTGATGCTGAAAAAAAAAGACAGAATTTTTGAAAACCTTGATAGAAGTTGATGACTCCAAATGTTAGCATTGCTCAACACTTTCAGGACACATATAAGCTAAGAATGGGTTATAAATTATTGTTGTATAAATACCAATTTCAATTGAAGCCTCTAAGCTTCAATACAGTTAGAAATGTATGCCATGTAATGAAATGTATATAATGTAAATTTTTGTTTCAAGAGTTTTGCATGAAGCACTCCTTTTTGTATGTTTTGCTCATCAATGTCTTTACCAAACAGCAGTTGCTCTCCTCAAAAATGATATTGAAAACTTCATGAGCTGGTATAAAAAACAGAGATAAACCTTTACAAATTGTGTTTGTTTATGTACTTACGTGCTACTGGAAGAAGAGAAACGAGGAGCGTTGTTGTTGACTGGTTCTATAATCAAGTGGACGTAAGTAGCTGTTGACCGAGCTAGCTGACCTCTGTCTGTTGCTGTCACTGTAAGCTGCACTGTCGGATGATCAGGATCAAACTGCACTTCCCTGGTGGTCGTTATGGCACCTGTTAATGTAGGCAAGATATGCTGATGACTGCAGGCAAATTAAGAATGTCTTGAAATCATTTTCCTGCTTAAAAACACATGTCAAGCAATAGTAGTAACATAGTTTTTAGTTAAGGAAACAAAGGATTGTTATGAGGAATCATGTTATACTGTTTTAAGATTTTAAATATTTGTTTGAAAATATTTCAATGTCTGAAATGGCATTCTAAAAGTTATATATATATACCTCCCTTTTTGATAATATTATCTATTACCAGAGTAAAGTAAGGTGTCCACCTGGAAACCTGAACAACCTCATAATCTTTAATTTCCTAAAAAGTAACAACTGTAAGAGGACTTGATTCAATTTACTTACCAGTGGTCGGGTTTATTGTAAAGCCAGTGTCTACAGCAGTCTCAATTCCATACACAATCTCGCCGTTCAATCCACTGTCATGATCTGAAGCTGTTACATGTAGTACCAGTGTGTTTGCCATCGTTCTTTCTTTGACAGATTCCTGAAATTATAAACAGCTTTCATGTAGTTATGCTCTATTCACATAAATCAGGGGTATTTTCAAAGGTTTGTAAGCCTTACTGATGATGACTGGACAAAGCCCTTTTACACCTAATTTCCTATGAAATGGACAAGCTTTTGTAAGTATAGTCTATGGTGCTTTATCATTTTCATCACACTCAACTCTCCTAAGTTTCCTTTCCGACATATAAAGTACCTATTTAAGGAGGTACGTTGACGGAAATACTTATAAGATAGAAATATAATGGACTTTCAAACACTGAAGGATGAAATATGTATGATATCATGGGATATACAAGAGTTTTTATGTTCTAGTAATTTGGAACACGTTGTACCTGATAGTTTGATTGAACAAACATTGGTGCATTGTCATTGACGTCCATGATGTACAGATCTCGAACAGTTGTAGCTGTTTTGTTTCCGTCAGTAACCTAGAAACAGAACACAATAAAACTTCATATATTTATAACATCGAAAAGTATAGAAACATGACAAACAAAAGTAATATTTGATTTTCAAAATGTTTTAAGGAAAAAAACATTTCAACATAAGATTTTAAATCCATATACAATTGTATTAAAGAGCTTGAAAATGTTCTACTTCTAGGTATAAAGCGTTGAAAATGAAGAGTGTGCTTATAGTCAGTAAAACATTACTGGAGTTAGATAGATGTATAAAAACCTACCTTCAATGCTACTCTGTAATGGTTTGTTCCCTCATGGTCCACAGGTTTGGCTAGAATGATATCACCTGTAAATTTGTTAATGGCAAAGCGGCCATCTTGATTACCATTGTTGTCGAAATCATAAAGGAGTGGAGGAAAGGTGTCTCGATCATTGGCCGTCACTTTCATAATCTGAGATCCAACAGGTGTTGCTGAAGAAAACAGAAATCATAATGATTTTCAAAAGTTTGTTCAAATATTTGTGTGTCAACAAATAAGTCATGATTTTCGATACCGTAATGCATCCATGTTTTTTTCTTAGGCTGCACACCAATGTACAACATATTGATCCTTACAAAAGACAGTGCACAGTATCAGCATTGTTTGTCAGAAATAGCTGGAGTAATTTAGCATGAAACAGACTCAATCAATACTTCTGGACTTGTGAATCATTTCCATCACAACAAGATGCCGCAAAGCGTGGCATTATCCCCCGCGCACAGGTGTTGGTATGGAACTCAAATATGCTATATATAGCACTGTAATAATTTGAGACTTCACACACTTATGTATCAGTACTTTGCACGTGAAGGTCTATTACAGTGAAAGCACTAGTAGAAAATAATAAACTCACATCTCCTCAACTTCAACATTATAGATATATATATATCGAGATATAATTGAAAATATAGAATCAACACAACAAATGTGTTTCAGTAACATTTTCAGCCATAACAGCTATCTTCAGGCGATACAATTACTATAATGCCTTGGTAACCACAGCATGATGTTATAAACAGCATATGGCAGAAGGGGAGATAATAATTCCATTGCAGTATATCAACATTAATTTGTTAGACACATCGTACCAATCAAATATGTAACACTTTAAGAATTAAGTGGCATTTATCTGATATGTAAACTTATCTGAGTATGTTTCCATGGAAACAGAAAAAAAAATTGATAAGTGAAATGACAGCAATAGCAAAAGGCACAAATAGGGCACCCACTTAATATGTGCAGAAAGTTTTGTGAAGTTGAGTGGAACGGTTTGGAAGTTATAGCCCGGAAAAGCCCCCTTTTGGTGTTTTCTGATTATGTTTCCATGGTAACAAAAAAAGATATAATAAGTGAAATGTCGACAATAGCAAATGGCACAGTTTCGAAGTTATAGCCCGGACAAGCACTTGGACAGACGGATGGACGGGTGTACGGACGGACGGATGGACGGAGCGCAAACGTGTTTCTCAGATGATAAAAAGGTGTCCATTTATAAAATAGCATGTTGAAATAAATCATAATGTTAGTGATACAATCGCTGAATAGGACAGTAACAAAATATTATATAACAATAAAAATAGCAATGTTATAATGATAAAATTGAATAAAAAATTCATACAATGATACAGCTATTGATTTAATGACAATATCAATTATATTATATGAGACAGAATTTCATATAAATAACAATAAACATTACAATAATTGATCCATGATTTCCACGTACTTTCTGTGACATTTTCTTCTCGTGGAGGAGGAAACTTGGGATACTGGTCATTGACATCTACCACATTAATTGTTACAATACAGGTTCCTGTCTTTGTGGACGACAAACCCGTGTCAACAGCTTCAATTTCCAGGCGATACTGTTGGACGATCTCGAAATCAAGTGGGAGGTGGGTAGTTATGTGTCCACTGTTGTCAATAACAAACACAATGTCCTGATCGTTTGTCTGTAGGATACTGTAGGATATCATTCCATTCACCGAGCTGTCTAGATCTGTAGCAATAACCTGTAGGAAAAAGCATCATAGTTGTAGATCTGAAGTAAAATCTCTCACAGAAAGAATGAAATACAGGGGACATTATATCAAATGAGTTACCAAATATCTAGTCATGAAGCGCAAAGTATCATGATGTAACTTATGCAATATTCAATACATGTATTGGCACTTTCATCCGTGGCAGCTGTAAGCAGGGAAAGGATAGATAGTGATCCTCTATAAAGTCACAGACAGTATTAAATCCAGAATATACCTTTTACCATAGGATATTTCTATATAACTACAATAAGATTTGATAGAAATCACGAATCAATCTCTACATGGCAGAAGTCAGTAAGGGGAGGTAACATGATCTGATATTCCAAGACAATGCATCATGTTAATACCTGTAATCTGAAGGCCATTACCAGAAGATGCAGGTAGCTGAAACACTGTGGTCATTAAAGACAGATAATGTTATGTTTGTACCTCAAACACTATTATCATTAAGGGGAGATAATCTTATGTTAGTACCTCAGACACTATTATAATTAAGGGGAGATAATCTTATGTTAGTACCTGAGACACTATTATCATTAAGGGGAGATAACATATGTACCTGTGACACTGTTGTGCCAATTGGAACATCCTCCCTGATAAAGGTGTAGTAAGGGTCCTGAGCAAACTGTGGGGCATTGTCATTGACATCAAGGACAGAGACCTCAACCAAGGCATATCCCGATAGGTCGCCATTCTTCGCCGACACCAACAACTGGATTTTCTCAAAGGTTTCATAATCCAATTTGTCATTGTTCTTAACAGTGATTTCACCTGCTCAACAAAAATATGATCTGGTTATTATCATTAAAGTAAAAAACCCTTTATAAATTCAGCATTGTGAAATAGTTAAATCAAAACATATGCTTTCAGCTATCATCGGGACTGCAAGATTTTGTTGTTACATTAACTCATAAAAGATTCCAAAATCTTACAAAATATTAAATTTCAATAAGACATAATTTACAATCATGCACTTATGTTGAAATAGATAATGAAGAAAATATTCTTAGTTCTAATGTTTAATCTGTTACAATAATTTATAATGAATGTCAACAAACTGTGCAGGTACTCCAAGGAAATAATTGTTTAATTTAAACACATATTTAGACCAACCAGGATCCAGTTTAGAAAATGTTATCTGTAAGCAGTAGTTATTTTCATATCTTACCAGAGCTAGATATTGAGAATATGTTGTCACTGTTTCCTTCCACAAAAGCGTATTGGATGTTACCCTGTAAAGAACCTTCCATAACCTGTGCCAATACCCCGATTACTGAGGTTCCTGGAGCAGAATTTTCTTCAACTTGAGCATAGTAAGTTGGTGAAGTAAATTTAAGATGTGCATGTCTGTCTGTCCCCACCATGATCTGTACAACAGCTGGAACACAAAAGATAATTGTCATACAACTCTTCATTTGCAAATTCACACAAATCAGATTTGACTTTGCATTTTTTCACATGCAAAAAAAATACTATTTCTCTTTTTTCTGGGCTTATCACCCTGCGATCTGCCATGGTTATTTTGAGGCAGGTTCTCCTTGTAGTAGCTGAGGTCAACAAGATACAAGATACCTATTGCATGCCATCAAGAGCAATTGGAGTAAAATGTCTTATGTAAGAACACAACCACATCAGCACTGGTTGTTTTGCTAAGTTTCCCAAGAAAAACAAACCCAACAGGTAAGGAGATTCGAACCACACACCTTGGATCTTTATCTGAGGTTGTGTATGCCAATGCTCTACTGACTCAGCTTTCACAGCCCCTGGACGTTAATATCAAAGATTTATCTTTATATAATAAACCCAGTGGTCTACTTACTAGTGGTTGTTCTGGATGGCAAGCCCAAGTCTTTAGCTATCACATGGAGATAATGATAGCCTTTAGCTTCTGCCTGGAATGCACGAGTGTATATATCACCATTAATGGCATCTATTCTGAAATATCGTAAGGACCGATCTCCAGAGGTCGTACTGAGGCTGTAGTTGATCTGATCAAGGTCAAGGTCGGCAGCTTTCACCCTGACTACAAATGTGCCTGACGGTACACTATAATTTATATTTGCAATATAAGGAACATTCTGGAAGATTGGTGAATTATCATTGACATTGTCCAGTGTAACTTCTATGGTAGCAGTTGTGCTTTTTCTGTTATACTGGCTGTTGTCCTCGGCAACCAACTTGAAGATGTACTTTGACTTTTTCTCATGGTCAAAATGCCTGCAAGAGAGAAGCATGGCCTTTTAAAATGACATATCGGTTGAAATTAACATAAACATTGGCAGGATTTAAAAAGGTTTCTTTTACTCTGTGTTGTTACCATTTCATTAATCCAATTGTCAGGAAAAATCTTGATCAAAAGATGAAACAGAAACCTTCACTTTTACATTTTTAAAATTTTTAGATTGTTCAGAAAGATGAAATGCGATGCAACTGCATCAGAAAAACAATCTGAATCATCTAGTACTTTCTTAAGCTTTGAAAACTTGTAATTATAACAAACAAACTTACCTGGCAGTTGTGATATTTCCTGTCACACTATCAACCTTGAACATGCCATCTGTATCATTACCAAGTGAGTAGGTGATTCGACCATTTCCGTTCTCATCCCGATCACTAGCTGACACTAATCTGACCATTGTTCCAATCTGGACATCCTCACTCAGACGTTTGGTATATTTGTCCTGGATAAATGTTGGTGCATTGTCGTTCTCGTCCAGTACCATGACCTGAATGACCATGGATGCAGTTTTAAATCCACCATCCTGAGCCTGGATAGTCAAGTTGTAAGAGGACCTGTCCTCGCGGTCAAGGTAAGTACAGGACAACTGACCAGTGGTGCGGTCAATGCTGAAGTGATCACCAAGATTACCATCTGAAAACACAAATAAAACAGTATTATAGTTGTGTGATATACCATGATCCATATGCAGTCCAGGCTTCCAAACAAATACAAGAATATAGGCTTTATAAATTGAATCTAGCCTCTTTGTATATCCTCATTGTGGAATGATCTGAGTCAATTTTAGCATGAGCTATCATGACAATGCCTTGGTATCAGAAGAAATACTGATCATTACAACACAATGATACAGATTTATTTTGATTTGGATCACTTTATAAGTATACACTATACTGCCACCTTTTTACAGGAAGGGTTTTTATACAGCTGCTTCACTGTGACCATTTTGAACAGAAGATGGTTACAATGGTTCCATAAAAATGCATACTGATTAATCAGACATTTCCAGATAGCTTGAAAAGGAACAAATATCCCAGAATTCACAATGATTGAAAATGGGGCACAGGGATTAGTGATAAATGGTTACTGGGTGTACCGTATCTAGATAGTTGACTTTATCATATGGCAATTCTGTTTGCCGGTCCCTGCATATCTTACAATATCTACCTAGGATAGTGTAGGAGAGTTCTCCATTCTTGCCCTCATCCAGATCCTGTGCTCTGACAGTATAAAAGGCCACCAAATCGATGTTCTCTGGGATCCTCAGCTCCAGAACACTTTGTTGAAATACTGGTGTATGATCGTTGACATCTGTCACTTTTACAATGACTGTGGCAGTGTCATACAGCACAGGATTGCCATTGTCAAATACAAACGCTGTCAATATAAAACATTTTCTTTACAATGCTGGATTTCATGATTTCATTGCATCGCACATTTTTCTCTATTTTTGTGTGTTTACAATAGGATTTCCATTAATGAGACAATAGAACATGACGGTTGTATTCATTTCACTATTGTATTCAATCCACTTATTTTCAGATTGGAAGCAGTGATTATCATTCTCTACTGATATTTCTTAAAATGCTTTATATGTTTTTATGGGATTTATACCATGCACAAACCTAATATGAACTTCATATTTTGGACATCAGTAATGTCTTTTTTATACCTGTGAATTCATAGGAGCTCTGTTCCTCCCTGTCCAGTATAGAAGTCACTTTAAGAGCACCAGTCTTAGAGTTGATGATGAACTTGCCCCCAGCAGTTCCAGGTGGAAGCATGTAGGTGATTTGCTGGTCATCCCCTGAAAAATAAATATTTTCATATCATAAGTAATGAAATAGATTTCATGATGATACCATACAACTTTCAATTAATAGTTTTGATAATTATTATTGACATAATACAAAAACTCCAGATAAATACAATCAAACTTCATTGAAATATAAAATACAATATTCCTCCCACACTTGACCAGACTAATCTCCCTTTTCTTCAATGTTTTCTTTTGCCACTTCAGACTTCTTATTATCTTCTGTTTCACAGATATAATAAATTACAAGACAGCATCCCTTGCCTTAATCCATCCTTGATACTTTCCCATTCATTTCACGAAAGTCAAATCCACATTTCCATATTCGTCTTTAATTCTGCTCTAGTCTCATTTGTGTGCCAATCAATTCTCTCATTTTCAAATAAAACCCAGTGCAACTATATACTTATTCCCCTTTCCAACCTCTGTTTTTATTAACTTCGAAAAAAACATAATTTTGTTTCAGTTTCCATGAATCAATATACCATTTATTTCTTGCAAATGCAAAACAAATCTATAACCCTATCCATCATCTTGTAACCTTCAAATCACCGCATACACACCTATATCAACATCCGTAGCTGTCAAAGCGATGAGGAAATCATCTTGGCTGTTGTTTTCTGTGACTTCAACATTGTACACTCTCTTTAAGAATGTGGGAGGGTTGTCATTCACGTTGTCTACCACAATACTGAATTCCAGGTATGACATATGCTGAGGCATGCCACGATCTGTTGCACTTATGTTCAGGGTATAACTGCCTGTTGTTTCTCTGTCTAGCTCATGACTGATTGACAATATCCCTGCAGAATACATTTGATTTAAAACATAAATGGCAATCATGCTTTAATAATCTTGAGTTACCTCCCTTTAGCCGTTCAAAATTTTCATTAGAAACCCTTTTTTCCCCCCCACTAAGATGCTTCAGGGTATACTTTGAAGGATGAATTCTTTCTCTAAACGGTACAAAAGGTTTTCTAACAATTACCAAAGTTATTTGCTGATCGTACAAAAAACTTGTCACTTTACTATGAATGATATTGTTATTTTGGGAATTGCAATATGATCATTACCAAGAAAAAGGATTTCAACATCATGAAGGTAGTGTTTTCTCTTTAACTGGATCATCTCTTTCCACTCAAGTCCTAACACCAAAGTTGGTGACAAACATTATCATCAGTACACTTACCAGTGTGAGAGTCCAGAGCAAACTTGGAGCCATCATTTCCTGCAACAATCTTATATGAAACTACACCATTTCCACTGTTGTCAACATTGTCGTCCAAATCTACTGCAAAAAGTTTAACAACGGCATCACCTACTGGTATATTCTCTAACACATGTAACGGTGAGTAGCTCTTGAACAAAGGCGTATTGTCATTCTCATCTTCAATGGTGATGACCACTACAACAGTTGACTGAAGTCGGTCAGCAGGATAAGGAGATTTATCCTCCGCACGTACCAACAGTGTTACAGTCTTTGTCTGTTCGTAATCAATCACAGATTTGATTCTCAATGTACCTGTATTGGCATCTAAACTGAAAAAGTCTAGTTGTGGTTCTTGACTCTCAATTGAATAGGTTATGGAGCCATTCACACCAGAATCCCGATCTGTTGCTGAGAAAATATACACAATCTGTCCAACTTGTTGGTTTTCAGGTTTTGTCAACATGACTGGGTCTCTCTCAAACAACGGTGGATTATCGTTCTCGTCTAGAACATTGATATTAACCTTGATGGTGCTTGTTTGGGGGAAAACAAGACTCTGGTCAATGGCATGGACGCCAATGGTGTGCCATGACGATACTTCATAATCAATGTCTCTAATGCAGTATATGTCACCATTGGTATGGTTCACTGAAAATAGACTGAAATCATTTCCAGCAAATATGAAGTAAGAAACTTTAGAATTGTCAGTTTGGTGAAGCTTGACTCTGCCGACAATGGAACCAACTGGAGTGTTTTCAACCACACCTATAGTCATGTTTATATCCTCGTTGATGTAGCCCTCGTTTACGTCATTCAGGACGCTAATGGTGATGGTAGCAGATGAGGATTTCTGTGGTGTTCCATAATCTACAGCCACAACAACCACATGATATTTGATGCTTTTTTCGTAATCCAACACTTCCGCAGTTGTTAACCATCCTGACTTGGGATCCAGTTCAAAATGTGCCAAAGATAAAGCATCTGTTCCTTCAAAGACAAAAGAATCAAGATTCAGAATTTTTCAGAAAAGGGAGAAGTAGAATTTTAAAAAAATCATTTTCCTCCATTTTCTTTATGTAACTTTTATTTTGGAAGTAAAAATAAGATTGAAGATCTATTTTTATCAATTCAGACTTAAATATACATTCAAAGCTTATTGGAATTTAGGAATTTCCAAAACTGATTTACAAGCAATTCTGTTCTTTTTCATACACATATTTACAAATTGCCAATATTGATATCAGATTTCATAAATGATCTGAAAAAATAGAAGTTGATAGTCACCTTGTTCATCGAAAAAATATGAAACTGTGCCATTCTCTTCACTGTCTGGATCAATGGCATTAACCTGGATAACATTTGTGCCCTTAGCCTGGTTCTCCATCACTGTCCCTCTGTTCTCTGAGGTAAATTGGGGAGTATTGTCATTGATGTCAAGTAAGACAATTTTAACTACTGTGGTATCAGTGTGAGATGGAACACCAAAATCTCGAACTGACACATTCATGGTGTATGTGGCCTTGACCTCTCTGTCAATAGCCATTGATGTGCTGATTTCACCATTGTAAGTATTGATGATAAATTCAGTCTGGGGAACAACAAAGGAGTACTCCAATTTGGCATTGTCTGCAATGTCCCTATCTGTTGCAGTTACTGATCCAACAACTGTTCTGGATGCAACATCCTCAGACACAGGGAAGATGTACAAATTGTCAGAGAATTCAGGGAAGTTGTCGTTGGCGTCTGTGACTAGAATAAGGACGGTGGCTGTGGCAGAGAGCTGTGTTGGCTTTCCATTATCCTTAGCAATGACAAACAGCTGGTACAGATGTTGCACTTCACGATCCAATGGCATTTTCAAATACATGTGACCGTTGTTGGGCCAGATCCCGAACAGGTCACTCACTTCCTGAAGTGTGTATGTTATCTGATCCATGTCAAGGTCACTTGCCTGCACTTCCAAGAATGTTGAACTCAGCGACAAATCTTCAGCAACATTTACTTCATAGAAGGTCTTCAAAAACGTTGGGGGATTATCATTCTTATTGGTGACAAACACATTCAGGGTCGTATTGGTGCTTAGTGGTGGGATACCCATATCACGTGCCTGGATGACCAGAGTGTAAGATTTTATATCTTCATAATCCAGTGACTTTTGAAGCCGAATGTCTCCACTGACTGGGTCAATGACAAACGTTGAGTCTCTGTTCTCTACAAGACTGTATCGCACTGTGCCATTCACACCGCCATCACTGTCAGTAGCAATGACCTTGTAGAGGACCTCGGCCATGTCCTCGTCCTCCCAAACATGGATATTGACATCTTGGGTGTAGAACTGTGGGGCGTTGTCATTGATATCCTCTACTGATATATTCACCTGTAAAAATTAAACATACCGGTGATTATGACGTCTAAGTATGTTACAAACTTCTTTAATGCATTTGATGAAAAGTTACCAGCTTTATCTGTATAAAATAGTTTCTATGACAATATTGCACCTTACTATCATAACTTCTGCAAGTATGTTGTTAATACATTATGACTGAATTACATGTTAATAAATCTCACACAGAGGCAAAGTTACCGATAGTATTTTCTAGGATAATGTATGGACATTTAGGTAAGAATTACTATTGCAAAAAATAAACCAAAAAACCCTAGCATTTCAACATTTCTTAACAAAATACCGACCTGAGTTTTTCCAAAAACAGGTGGGCTATCAGTCTCTGCCATGACAGTGATGAGGAAACTTGTTGTCTGTTCATGGTCCAGTCTGTCATCATTGGTGAAGATTTTACCAGAGAGTCGGTCGATGTAGAAGTGGTTGTCTACATCACCCGAGGTAATGGAGTAATGGATAGCTACAAAGAGCATGAATGTCTATGTTATAGTTGATGTATAGAAACTTGTTGTTTACATTAAATCACAACTCAAAATATTCCAGAAATATAATGAAGATTCCTACTCTAAATAGTAACTGGATATTAGCTTTTAAAAACATAATTTTAAAACAATTTACACCAATTTCATTCTTCTTTTTTTGGCCTAAATAGGTTTGTCACCATTAGGGATGGAAGAGGAGCGACTGTCTTAAGAATTTGAAGTGATCAATTCAATTCTATTTCTCCTATGTCAATTGATCACTTAAGTTTATTTATTTATGACATCAGGGAACTATTGATTTCCAGTCAAATGTTTGAAACTCTTTTGATTACGCTTATCCTTAACAAATTTAATCTAAAATTCCTACCAATCATTTCTAGCAATCAAACCACTGTAACCTATCTTACAGAGGATTTCCTAGTATTTTATTTGGCGTCTCTGATGACCTGTATTCTCACCTTGTCCATTGCTTGGAGTAACTATGGCCAACACTTGCCCCACCAATGTTGACTGGGCAGCTTTTTCCGGCACGGAAAAGCTGTAGGTTGCACGCTCAAACGAGGGGCGTGGGGAACCATTTCCCATAACACTGATATGAACCGTGGCAGCCAGGAGAGAAGCAAGACCACCTCCATCATACGCTTCAACTTCCACGACGTAGACTTTTTCCTCCAGCGGTAGACTGGCCGACAGTGAGATCAGACCTGTCACAGAAACAGAATCATGTAATCAAGGTATCAAATACCAGACAGTATATCATTAATAGTTAACAATGGAAAGCATGCTAATTGGCTATAAATTTGACTCTTGACACATAAATCGGTTCATTATTGATAACCATGTTTCCTATATTAAGTCAAAAAGGATTATAGTTTTCAGGAAAATTGAAATGAAAGTGAATAGAAGAAAAATTATCTGTTGATATCAATTAGAAATTTTGACAGGAAAATGGATGTTTTTGCAGCAGTGTTACCGATAATGTGTATAAGAAATTGCCCTGCTGATCTACACTGGTAAGGAAAATATACAATCTATGATACTAGATATCTGTTGTTCATTATCAGTTATATTCAAAGCTACCTAATCTCTTTTCTTTACATGATCGAGTTAATAACCTTACTTTGACCTTGACAATGTAAACTTCCTTATTCTTTTCATAAGATACTGTACCCTTTCCATCTATTACAAACACAGATTTGACCTTGAAATAGTGCCTTCCCCAACACCCCAAAGCATACATTCAATGACCTTGAGAAACCCTTAAAACAGTATCTGTATATGTTCATCCCATACAGCTAAACCATACATGTCAGCTTCAACAATTAGCCAGGGGTTAGTTGACATGTATCAGCCAGCTGTGGGGGATATACAATAACTCCACACTCATCCATGTACTGTCTCCTCCCTTCGTTCCTGTTACCTGACCTTACTGTCTATGACCTTGAGAGATATAATCTACATGGATGCCTCATGATTACACGACATTATGACACCATCTTTTTTCGCTTGAAATGTGTGACATGCCTGTATAACAGACAGTATGGATTATCGGTTGTGGCCACCTTCCAAATTTTGTAATCCAGCTGAGACAGACAGAAACAGAGGGATAACTTGGCAGAAGATTGACAGACCAAACCATCTAACAGGATCCCTATGTAGATATTGTACATGTATCCTATAATGTGTCAGCCATTGTTTTGGAGAAAATAGAGTTATCTATCTCATTAAAAATCAACATCTGTAAATAAATCAAAGTTACTAATCAGATTTACTTCCCCTAGTTTAATACCAAATATATACAGATAGTATTTGAACTTTGATGAAAGGTTGGAATTACACTGAAATTAGTTTGAAATGTTTATCTATGTAAAAGTAAGATTTGTGTCACAAAGTAATTTCTCCTAAGTATCACCTGGACAATGTATCTGGACACTGTCAATGTCGAGGGAGACCAAGTATTGTACACAGATTCCTTGTCAACAAGTTTAAATAGTCTATCCTATAGCTTCCTTATCAGTCATCTTTACCTGTAAACGATTTTCAATATTAATCTAGAAATCATTCAGTATTGCTGTAACAGCCATAACCTTGTCCAATAGTAATCCATCTTAATCCTGATTTAGCAGATTGCGGAACACCTGGACGAGTTCAATATCTACATAGCTGGCCAAATAACTTCACCTAAGTTATCAGACAGAGGTTTGGAAACCTTTCCTTCCTGATCCATCTGAATTGGTCTAATCCTCTCAATGACTGTTAATCCCATTATGATTAAATTGGGTGTGCCATTGTATTGGTCAGTTTTCAGGTAACAAGAGCCAGTGACAGGTGAATGGTTATGGTCAATGTTACATGTAAACTGACCAACTCAAGTGGTCTGCATCTTACATAAAAAAAGTGACACCTCTATATACCACACTGATCAAGATCTGTTTTACTTGTAAACCCAGAAGTCAAGGCTGATTTTGATTTTTTTCTTCTATGTTTGTTGTTATAAGCAAACTTGGCTATTAGCAAAGGTCATCTGAATTGGAAAAAAAATATTCGGATATACACAACACAGAAAAGCAGCCTTCATAGGCAAGTGGTCCTTTTGGAGGTTCAAGTAATATGATATGTATTTTGCTAGGATCAGTATCTAATGGCTTTTATAGACAGGTAATTAAAAATATATAAAGGTGGCCTTATAGACAGGTGTTTGTTACACACAGGTTACCTATATAAAAAGGTATTCATATACAGGTGACCTTTATAGACAGGTATTTGGTATAAAGTGTTGACCTTTATAGACAGGTATTTGTTATATACAGGTTACCTTTATATGTGGATATTTGTTATATAAAATTGGCCTTCATAGACAGGTAATTGTTAAGGTAGCCTTTAAGGCCAGTCTGACTGCTGTCTGATTTTTCGGATAAGATATATTACCTTAAAAAGTTTTGCCTAAAACTTTCCTCAATATTTGAAGATTTTTGCCATTTTTTAAAATCACCCGAAATACTCACCACTCTGAGCATTAATGGTGAAAGCTCCACCCTGTGAACCAGAAATGATGCGATAGAACACGCGACCATAGTTGCCACTGTCAATGTCATGCGCCACCACTGTCACTATGTCCTTGCTGGGATTGGTGGCCTCAATGAAGTCGAGATTCTGACTGTAGTTACGTGGGTAAAACTCAGGACGATTGTCATTGATGTCCGTAACTGTTATCTGAACTCTGGTGTCTCCTGTCAAACCACCTGTAAGTAGACAAAGTAAACTCTCTGATTGATAAACTTATCTAGTATTGATGAACTGTTGTTTTTATCTTTGTTTTAAATCTAAAATGTTTGGAAGTGAAATAAATCAGTCAACATCTTGAAATATAAAAAGTTTTCCTAAGGCATCTCGGTGAATAACTGAAGCATTTCATCACTATAACTAGGGGCTTGCGTCCTTAAGTGGACATGAAAAGATTTGGTCTTCAACATGGGATTTCTGTGGGTACGTTCAGTTTCAGTCTCTCCCAAATTAACATCCCCCTCCTCCATCCTCCTGCACGCTACGATCCACACAAACAAAAGGAAATAACTCATTTATGTAATTTGTTGTTAAACAAATAAATTCTAATCTAACTGTATTTGCTTCATATACATTAATCTGAATTTTCCATCTGGGTCAGTTTTAAGACATGGTATCAAATTATAAAACAATAATCTTTTTCCATTGTATGCCTGCTTGATCTAATTTAATCTGTAAGAAGAAATCAATCTTTCTGTCAGAGAACTATCTCAGAAACAAAGGATAGGAATATAATGATGATCGATGTGTACCATTATCAACAGCGAAAACTTGGAAGGTGTAGCTATGTTGAGTTTCGTAGTCCAAGGGATGCTTAATACAGATTTCACCAGAGGAAATGCCCAGGGTGAATTTGTCACTGGTCTGGAGGGAGGAGTTGGACAGCTGATACGTCAACTGGGTGTTCCCGTTACAGTCTGGATCATCTGCCGACACCTGTAACATAACAACAAAGATGAAATATTAGTTACCGTAGCAATAGAGACAAACTTTTCAGTTACCACTGCTAGAAGAACTTCACTTTTAGACAAATTACAGTTTAAACATTCATTGTGTTCTCATCAAAGATATTCTTCACTGAAGAGCAAAGTAATTTTTGCCATTTAGGGTTCTTGAAGAATTATCTAAAAAAAAGTTCACTATTGCATGTGGTGAGAGGAACAGCATTAACACAAACGATGGACTGGTGACACTAAAATAACATTACTAATTACATATTGATGTGGTTTCAGAGATTACAATGTTCACAGAAATTCCTAAATGACGTAAATGATGGGGTGTTAAGTGAAGGTTCAACATTTTTTATTTGGCTAGAAGGTTAAACAATGGTAAACAGGAGCTGAAGTTTACACACCTGTCTACACATCTGTATATCAGTGTTAATATAAATCATATATCTACTAGTACGTAATAGTAAGTGACATAGGTAATACTAATTAGTAAGACCAAGTGAATGGTTTGGATGTTTATATACCCCTTGATAACTATATCACTAAGTTTAGGTATACCAGCTTCCCTAACTCTTTCCATGACAACCACTATCATTCTGTACAGCACCACCATCACCACATGTGGGGTGTACATTGGCTTCATTCCCCTCCACACTTACAGATGTCAGGTATGTGTCAGGGATGAACTTTAAACAGCTGTCCCTGACACAATTGGCTCTAAGATAATCTCTGCCATCCATTATCTATCATTACCGATGTTTATCATAGCCAAGTTTATCAACATTGCTCTTCTAAGAAAGCTTTCATCACTGACACCATTCACATCATGACCTCTCTAGTGATCAGTACTGATTATTTTTTGTAAATTTTATCCTCTGATCAGTAGAAGAATCAATTGCACTGTTACAAACATTTTAAATCCATATCATATTCTTTCTGACTTCAATAAAAAAAAAAAATTTCAGACATGAAAAAGTTTCAAAAGTTTCAATCATCGTCATTAGTTTTCATCACTAAAGTCATCATCATTATCCCCTTCTTCATCTGTATGCAGCACCAGCAGCGACAACACATCCATTAGCTGTTTCATTGGTTATCACTACCAATGCCGTGAAAGTGTTATTTTGGCACCAGAGCTCATTACTGATAAGGAAAGCACTGATGAGGGAACTGATGGTATCTTAAACGGAACACCTTATAGAAAATACCTAAGTACTTCAGGTTCCAACATCAACACTAACATTCAAAAGGTGTGAACCATAAGGAGTTTCGGCAGTAAGCCAATCACTAATCAGTAATTAAAGATTGTAGTAATTTGATTGGCTAATGGTTAAATCAATATTTCTATCACTTATCTTCATCACATATTGATAAACAGCTGCCTTCTTATGCAGAAAATGAACAATAACATTCTAAACACAGATCAATTATTGAACTGCTTTTTCTTGTGTACAAAAGAATGCCTGATTTCATCTATGAGTGTTTTCCTTTGTAATAAAACATAAAATTTACCTTTACATATAATGACTGATGTCCTTATCACAAATTACCTAACATATGATGGATTGTTAATGTCTTTAAAGTATTTCATGAATGTAATAACAGCATCTGTTTTCCACATAAAGTCTGATTTATATAGATTTTTTATATATCATCATAACGCAAATGCAAATGAATTTTCGCTAAATAATTTAAGAAAAAATCTCTTGCTAGGTCCATACATGTACAGCTACTTTGCATTGTAAAAAGAAACTTCTAAAAATGAAGACATTTTTTCTGTAGTGATATACAGACAAGAATTAAAGTCTTTCTCAGTTTATTTATTTTAAAAGTGATCTCTTCTTTGTCTGAAACCTGTTGAACTTGTACCTTGATCATGATCAACCAACATCAAACGAAATCCTTCTCTTGTAACTTGGACTTTGCTTATAGTAATGGTGGGGTAGAGAACAAGCTGGGGGCCTTTCAAACATAATTAACCTTATTAATTTCTTCATACACGTACAAACAGAGACTTCTTATACAGAAGGACCCCACAGAAGACACTCTGGGAGTAACTTCTGACATTGAACTTGAGCCTATCATTAAACCTTTATCATTACAAATAACCATTCACTTATTCCTATATTAAGTGTCATCAACCCCATACTCACGAAACTTTCCCGTTACAGATTTAACTTATGGGGCTAAGTAGAGACAAGCACGAGCAAAAATGTTCATTGTTTCACCTAGAGGAATTCTTTTTATCCAAGTACTTCCTAACTTGGCAGACATTTTTGTCACTCACAGATATACATTACATGCAAAAACGTCATTATGGTATTCATTAGCTAAGAAATAACATGCTAATAGGGCGTGTGTCTGAATTGACAAATGATCTGATAAGATCATGGCGATTCGTCTTTGAGAAGGGCTTGCATTTTAAAATGTCACTGTTTATTGTCTCATTGTCATACAGTCATACCACTAATGTCTATTGCTTTTAACCTCAACAATTTTTTAGTTTACATCTTGAGCTGTCTACAATGCAAATTGGTACCATGGAGTACAAGGATGGCTTCTAAGTCTGTGACTCAACACACTTGTTTTATAGGTACATAAACTACAAGCATGTACTGTAAATGGTTCGGAGACCTAAAAAACAAGTCTGCTGAAATAGGTTTATCAGCAATTAGAAAATAAGTGTTTTAAAATAAATTATAAATTCAAGGTCCCTTGATGTTTTATCAGTAAAACCACCATTCTGCACCATAGCTTTGCAATTACCTGTACATATACCTATGTTAGTAATATACAGCATGATGATCAGTTGATACACGTGTGCAACTGGTTTTACATACTCTATAATTCTACCTTGATGATAAGAATTTGAATAAATTGTTGCAATTTCTACACAACAGACGTTACTGTTCTACACAACAGGAGAATGTTTTGATATAAACCTATGAAGTATTTTTCAAATTTATTAGCCAATTTTTGAGAGAGAATGCAAACATGTCACGATCACAGTGCATGCCTTTGAAATCAGGATCACAATACAGTGTCAAAAAAATAAAAATCATTCTTCTTATATAACACTGATGACTTAAACATTAATACTTGAAGTCTTTCCCACCACGAGCACAGATGTTGTACGTAAAAATATTTGATAATATCCTCTAACTTAGCTGCTACACGATATGTTATTAAGTAATTCTATTAAACATCACACACCTTTCACTACTAATCTTGTTACACTATAAACATCCCAACATAACGATTAGAAATCTTGATAAAACAACAAAACCCTGGGAATTCTTAACTCGTATAACAAGATAACACTTGTAGATTATCTTTGTAGCTTTCTTATCTCCCTTTCATGGAACTCTCCTGAGATATTAAGTACTAGCAGCTATATCATAATGTATAAAACAGTTACATGGAAAGCTTTGATGCCATCAATCCTCATCCAGCTTATCAATATCAACGATCATCTTGACTGCACATTATATTAAATCTGTCACAGACATTTGCTGCACTTAAATACATATGTGAATTTTCTATCATTGGGAAAATGAATATCTATTTTTTTTTTGGGAGAGGAACTTAAGTTTAGAAAAAGACAGCCAAATGCACTCTCTGTAAGTTTAATGTTCTGGGTAATTGCTATATTTTACAAACCCAGCTAAGTAATTCTGAAATCAACCTTTTGGCAATTATTGCTACAAATTATTGCACTGCTGCCACTGTGACTTTATATCTGTAAGATCATGAGATACTATGTACTGGGATCCTCATCATTAATTTTGTACTGTACTGATAAACGCTTGTACGGTTCACAATTACCCAGCGGCCTCACTTCCTTAATTTGCTGCATGTTAAGTTCAAAACAAGACCTTTTCCCTCTCTTTGCAGGTTTTCTAGTTAAAACGTGACTACATTCTCCTTTCTGTAGTCTGGATAATTTGTGTGAAAATGTGCAAACTGGCATTTAATTTGGTTGATCTGTTGCCCATTCTAGAGTGAAGGGATCCTATAATCACTTAGCTATTGAAGTTCTATTTGGTGCAAGATCTCACCCAACCAGGCAGAAAATGTGCTTGTGTTTTTCAAATTTATACATCAATACATAATCAAGTCCAGCCAAGAAGGAGTATTTGAACCAATTAATGCTAAACCACACATACTTGGTCTGGCACTACCATTCAGATTACAGGTTAATTCACCAAGTTTAGATAGGGAGGCAACATTCATTGAAGTCAGGCACTGAAATCGTTGTTATTTACGTACACCCGACCAACTTTGTAGAACCAATGAGAACCTTCACTAAACAAAAACCAAAAAAAAACTGAAAAACCACAGATTTAGGAAATCCCAATAGAAACTACTGTTTATAAAAGATATGAATGAATTGACCCCTCAAAACACTTTATTGAACAGATAATTTAGAAAAAAAACTGCAACAACCAATACCAAGTACAACTCCGATTTCTTTAATGATTCAGCGGAAACTATTAAAGTTTTATCATGGTATCAAATTGGCTAGTTAGCTGGAATTAATTACATAAGAGTAACAACACAAGTAGATTTGGTAGACATACACCACATGTGTTTCACATCAAATCCATTTAAGATTTCAGGAGCCTGCTTCTAGATCGAGAAATGTCAACAGAGCCCCATCTAGTGTGTGATGATAGAGGCAGTAAGAGGTTAGCTCTATAAATTTCTCGTTACAGTATCACATGACATCAGCTGCTGGGACGGCATTTCTGGTATTTTTTCTGCCAAGTAAATATAGTGAGGTGCAAGAAATTGCTCATGTCAGCCATGACAATGTGTATGGACCATTCTGTGGAATCGCAATGGGATTACAATTTCATGAATGTAACCCTGAAATATTTGACAAATTGATGCTGAAATGTGTGAAATTCCAGATAATAAAACAATATGTATGAACTTGGAATCCCTCCATTTTAACAAACCACTAAAATAACACAACATCACAGG